ACTAGTAGGAGCAAGCATGTCAAAATTGCGGCTGGCGGGGCCGCATGCCTCGTTTTATTAGTCATTTTGCCTCTAGAGACATATTACCTGGGTTTTAGTCCTGGATCTATCACTTGCTAGCTATGTGACTTGGGCAAGTTATTTAACCTTCTTGGGTCTCAGTTTATTTTTCTGTAGAATGGTATACAAATATTACCTATACCATGGGGTTATTATGAGGATTGAGATAAGTTATGTTAAGCACTTATTAGTAGCACAGTGTCTGGCACATACTAGGTGTTCAATTGATATTAGCTTTAATAGTAATAATATTAATAATTGTTATTAATGTTCAGTTAGATATTGTTTTTTATAGAGAGTATATATTAGGGCATTATCCCTGTCTTACTGTGACATTGTTGCTTCCTCTTTCTTTCCATTGCCCCATCAGGAAATGTTGAAATGCTAGATTGTTCCATCACGGGATTGCAAGGCATGACGTGAAAAAAAGTGCCTGTAGGAAAAAGGTCAATAAAATATCTTTGGCTCATTAGAAAATCTTACCTGACTGTGTCTTTCCCACCTCTGTCCACGGTAAACAGAAACAGAGCAGCAGATTGATTCCCTTTTGCACACAGCCTTCAACAGAAGTGCTATTCAAGACACTCCAATTCTCTTGCCAAAAAGAACAATAACAGTATCTCTGGAAAAATGGTGCCTATTTGGTTATCCTTTCTCTCCTCCTTAAGCCCCCCTGGCATTAACTTAAGCCATTTCTTCTTGTTCCATTTTCCATGAATATGGAAATGTTTCTTCTGATTATAAAGGGAGGATGAGGTCAAGATTTTCTCATGAGAACCTTTTGTGTACTTAAAGTCAAAATCGAGTTAGGGCTCATCTTCTCTTCTCCAGGCTAAACAGCCCTGGTTTCTTTTACCTTACTCTTAAAACCTATTTTCCGTTGCTTGGATCTCATTGGTCATGCTTCTTTTCTTTCTCTTCGGTTTTTCTACTTCTTGGCTCTAACCCAGACTATACTTAGTCTGCTAATAAGCGTCCAACTAAAACACTTTAAGGAAAGAGTAGCTTCAGGTGTTTCCATTCTTTTATTCAAATTTATTGGGCGTTTGCCGTGTGCTAGGCCCTGTGCTAGGGATAGGGGACCCAGAAACAAATCAGAAATAGTCTCTGCCCTGTCCCTAATGCACAGTCTAGGGGGAGATGTGCAATAAAATGTTATAGGGGATTTAATTATGTATTATACAAGTGTGGGAAGCTGGAAATTGTTGAGGGTAGTTCCATAGAAACAGTCTATTTTGCCTGGACTGTAGGTCAAGACTTGAATAGAGGAGTAGTAAGACATAATGCAGGATGAATGGTCTGGGGCAAGTTTGTGGAGGCCCTAAGTGACAGCACAGGAGCTTAGGATTCCAGAAGCAGTGGATACTCATTGGAGGTGTTGGAGCAAGGAAGTGAAAGGCTCAAATCTGGCTTTTTGGACCAAGGACAGAGATACCACAAGCCTTAGTTTTATCTGCTCACCTTGATGTTTTCTGTCTTGAAAGTGATATGGTGGAACCCTTATTTGTATACTTGATGTGTTTTTGTTGTTGATGATGTTTTGCTCTGAAATTTCTATAGAAAAACTAGTTCTTGGCTCTGGAGAAATTTCCCTATACAGTAGAAAACTTAGGAAGAATTGAGAGAGAATTGGGTGTCCAACCTATATAAGATCCACCCAGCCCTATACCAAGAAGAATACAAGAATGAGGAGAGGATTTCAGGGCTCATCTGGGTATTTGGTAAGAAATATTAAGAAGATGCAGGCATTGCCAGAGTCAGACGTTCTTGCTGGGGAGGAAAAACGGCTCAAAGGAATTTAGAATGTTGCCAGAAGGAATCAGAACCAACCAAGCACTTGGAACCTGTATCATGTATCTGAAAACCTCCAAATACTTTCTCTTTGCCTTTGTGCTCTGCTAACAGTTTATTCCTTCATGCTGCCCAGTTGTGGTTTACAGAGGACTTTGCAATGCCACAACTGATCTGGCAAGCCGTATCCCAAGTTTAAATAATAGTTACTATTTATTGAGCACTTACTCTATACCAGGCATTATGCCGTGAACTGGATATATATTAGCTCATTTAATTCTTACAGCAACTCTCTGTTGTAGATGTTATTGACCCTATTTTATAGATGATGAGAGTGAAGCACAGAGGGGTTGAGCATTATGTCCAGGGTTACTTCATTAGTATATGATAAGGCCAGAATCTGAATCTAGATCCTAATGGCTTGAAAGCCCATCAAAGCTTCCTACTGTGGCTCTAAACAGCGGAATAACACAAAGTCCATAAAGGAATTCTGAGGGTTTTTACTGTAGACTACTAGAGGTGTGTGTGTGGGTGTATATGTGTATGTAGAGGAACAGAATTGTAAGGAAGGGAAATAAGATGGGTTGGCAAACTTGACTATTGGCCATTTCTGGTTCACTACCAGTTTTCATTTAGACCACAAGGTAAAAATGTGTTTTATGTTTTTAAATGGTTGGGGGGAGGGAGAAGGAATCAAAAGAAGATTAATATTTTGTGGCATGAAAATTCAAGTTCCAAGCAGTTAGTTAGCACCCATATGACCGTCAGCTGATTTCTCAACAGAAATTTTGCAGGCCAGAAAGAAATGGCAAAAAATATTCAAAGTGATGAATAAGAAAGACCTACAACCAAGATTACTCTACCCAGCTAAGCTTTCATTTAGAATTGAAGGTCAGATAAAGAGTTTCACAGACAAGAAAAAGCTAAAGGAGTTCATCACCACCAAACCAATATTACATGAAATGTTGAAGAGTATTCTCTAAGAAAGAGGAAGAAAAGGAAGGGGGAAAAGGGAAAAATAAGAACAATAAAATGGCAATAAAAACATATCTATCAACAGTTGAACCTAAAAATCAAAATAAACAAGCAGGAAATCTAATGAACAAAATAAATTGATGAATAAAATAGAATCAGAGGGATGGAAACATGGAACAGACTAACGAATCTCAAGAGAGAAGGAGCGAACAGGGTGTGGGAAGAAATTAACCAAAGATCTTATATGTATATATGCATTACCTATGGACATAGACAATAGGGTGGTGAAGGCCTTGGGTGGGGCGGGAACCAGGTAGAGGGAAATAATAGGGGGTGGGGGAAGGGAGACATCTGTAATAATCTCAACAATAAAGAAAGAAAATTCAAGTTTCAGTTTCATAAATATTTATTGACATATAGGCACAATCATTCATTTATGTGTTGTCTATGGCTGCTATTTCTCTATAAAGGCAAAATTAAATAGTTGCGACAGAGACCATTTAGACACAAAGCCTAAAATAGTTATTATCTGCTCCTTTAGAGAACAAATTTGCCAATCCCTACTATAGGCAACAAGAAGAAAGGAACACAGAGTTTAGTAATATTGTGACAAGACTAAAGGCAAAGCATTGAAGTTTAAGGCCATCTTGTGAAGTGTTGAGACCTACAAGGAGAGAGCTTCTCTGGGCCCTGGAAATAGTTTCATTGGGTCACAGAGATTTGTTCAGGAGTAAAAGGCACAAATAGGAAAGGTTACTCTATGTGCTAACATTCTATATTGGACAATAAATATATATTTTGTGGATGAAGTAATTCAGATATTTACCAGAGTCGTGTGTGTGTGTGTGTGTGTGTGTGTGTGTGTGTGTGAGGAGTTTGTAGCCTAGTGGGAGAGCCACATAAGCATGTGTATAGCTGGCTCTAAGTATTTTAATAGTATACTGTGGGTTTGATTAAATGCTGGTTGAAGTAATTTGTGGGACTATTTTCAGTAATTTGTGATGGGCCCCAAAGAAAGAATAGGTGCTATTCTTCAAAGAGCTACTACATAACAGGCTGAGGGAAAGCCTGACAGTATAAGTATTTGGAGCTTATAAGATTGGGAAAGAAAGAAACAGAAATCATTTAAAGGTTCTGTTGCTGGGCGACTGGCAGGATGATATAATCTGATAGAGAAGAAGGGAAAAAGGAAGGAGGCGATGGGTGGGGTTAGGGTGAGTTCAGTTTGGGACACATGATTTGAGGAAATGGCGAAACATCTGGCTTCCAGTTAGAAAATCTTTTTAGAAGTTTTGGCACCAAGTTCTCAGAATTCAGACTTAAACTGCTTTTTCAGATCTTTTCCATTGGAAAAAGGGGGAAGGACACATTGATGTTGTAGAAAAATTCACAAATCTATTTTGACACATGATAGCTAGAGCCATGCGATTAAAAATAGCAGTGGACAGAAAATGAAGTCATCACATAGAAAACTAGCAAAAATTATTCATTTGGCATAAAACCGTGTTCCTGTTCATGCTACCTGCTGCCCTCAGAATCTACTAGATTTATCTTTCTGCTTCTAAACTTGGACAACAGAGAAATGTCAGCTTTTACCTTCTACGTGAGACTCTTTTTATGTCTTTTTGGTTCTAGAATTCCACAGTGGAAACAGAATCTGAAAACTTTTACTCAGACACTTGTTAAATCTTCAAATGCTTAATCTCAACATTTTCAAATGCTCAAATGTCTGATTTTATAGTAAAGACTAGAGAAATCTGTGATTGCTTTGTATATATCTACTTACTGGTGTAATGTATAGGTTTGGGGAAAACTAAGGTTGACCTTTATCTTCTCTGGTTCCTTTAAAGAAGTCAGCATTTTAAAAAATATATTTTTATTGATTCAAAGAGGAAGGGAAAGGGAGAGAGAGAGAGAGAAACATCAATAATGAGAGAGAATCACTGACCCATTGGGGACTGAGCCCGCAACCCAGGTATGTGCCCTTGACCAGAATCAAATCCAGGACCCTTCAGTCCACAAGCCGATGCTCTACCCATTGAGAAAAATTGGCCAGGGCAAAAAAAAAAAAAAAAAAAAAAAAGCCAGCATTTTTATATCCTTTCTATTTCTGCTTTTTTAAAGATTTTCATGGCAGACATGATGAGGCAGAAGTTGAACTGAAGCAGAGAACTGAAGAATGTGTGCTACCTGTAGAGACCATTGAAACACTTCCTGCAGCTGGAAAACAGCAACCCCCTGTCAGAAGCATTATTTTATCTGGAATTTCAAGTTTATAGAGGATTTGCTTTCCAAAAATTGGGCAAACCTATAGGTAAGACTGGCTATCCATTTTACTTAGACTTTTAGATTGCTTTAGATTGAAATTATCTATTTCCAGAGGAAGGAGCCAGTCAGAGATTTCAGTATACAGTTAGGCAGCCAGGATTAGCTGGACTGCTTGGCATGCCTAAGACAGTTTCTTAAAGGGGGGAAGCACATTTCTATCAGAATATAATAGCAGAGACGCTCGTAAGGAAAACCATGCAGTAAGTAAAATTTTTTTAATTTTTTCATTATAAAATAACTATATCATAACAAAATAAAAACAACAGAAGTATAAAAAATAAAATTTTGTACCCATTCAATTTCATTCTCCCAAAGTAACCATGGTTAAAATGACTCCAGATGTATCTTTTCAGGTTTTTTTATTTTTAACTTATAAGTGACATATATGATGACTGTTTGAAGTGTTCTTTATAACATTCTAACCTGGGGTTCTATCATGCCTGACAGGTTATAAATAACATCATGTGTTAAATTTGACTAGCTTCTGTCTGAATGTACCCCTTCCTTGACCTTGTCCCCTACGTAGTAATGATATAATCAGAAACCAAATCAGCCAACTAATAGGTCTGGCAGAAAAAGAGTAACCTTGTACCTAATACAAGAACTGCCATGAAATAATGTGGTTGGACTGGTTTGTAGTTCTTTCTACATAATATGCCAAAACACAAAATACAAAACTATTTCTGAGCAAGAAGAAACTTCTGATAAATTAGGTTTCAGATTAATACAATAATGATAAAGTTGTGATAATATACTTTTTTAATGTAAGTTATAGCAGTGATGACCAACTTTTCTGACATCATAGCACACATATAAAATGATATTGTTTAGCCTGATGAAAGGATCATACCTGATTCATAGCACACCATTAAGGTTTCTAAATAAAAGCATTCTTGTTGATGTCTGGCTAACTCTGGCTACCCTCTTCTGCTTTTCAGCATTAAGGTTTAAATATAGTATAATAGTTTAAAGTTTGAATTCTAAGCCAAACTATCTAGATTTAAATCCTAGCTCTGCCACTACTAGCTATGTGACCCCAGACAAATTACTTCATCTCTTTGTATCTCAGTTTCTTCAGCTGTGAAATGTGCAAATATGATACTTACCTCATAGAGTTGTGAAGATTACCTAAGTTCATACCTGTAAAATGTGGTATTTATAAATTGCTTAGAACATTATCTGGCATATGATAAGCACCATATAAGCATGTGTGTACTAGAACTACTTGTAGTGGTAATGTTTACTTTACTTGCTGTTATACTGTTTCAGAGAAGTAAATGTTATGGGCTCAGTCTGCCCAGGCTCCTCCTGATTGCCTCCTCCTCTGCCTCACATTTCTTAGTCTTGGGCTGTTCCTTAAGAGTGTCCACCCCCCTTGCTTTCATTGCCTCAGTTTCATTTTCTCAGTTTCCATTTGTTTGGGGGCCCTCAGCCAGCTGATAACTGAGAAAACTGCTGAGTTGATCATTATACTCATCAGCTTGCTCTCACCGCCATTCCATCTCTAGAGAGCTTTGTGACTGAGGGAAGTACATATTAAAGAATGTGAAGAGGAGTGAATCCTAGACCTTGAAAAGAACTCTAGAATGGTTGGGAGAGGAGCATGAGCTGAGTTAGCCGAACTGTTAGCCAGCAAAGACTCATGTTTGGTAGGAAAAGGATCACCTGATGTCACATACCAGATGTAGGAGCTAGTCAGTTCTCTGTAGGCTCTGCCAAAATATGGAGCAGAGCTGGTGACTCTGGGGGCACTGTGGCTCATAAGACTTCATAGAGAAATGACAGTTCTTTCAGAAGGTAGGCCTTAGGGCTAGCTTGGGGGAGAACACTAGGTTAGTACTTTCATGTCAGGAACACCTGTTGACTTTGTAGCCCTACTGGGTGAGACTCTTTATCTGCTCTGTGAGTTCTCCGGGCCCTCTCCCCATGCAGGAGCCAGGTTGGTTGTTGGATCTGTATCTTTAAAACCTGTTAACCGAGCGGGACCTATAAATACGTCAAACATAAACAATATCGGGAATGGGTAGGACTTATGAATACGTCCTTGAAATATATGTTGTGCCCTGAGAGGGATGATGTATATTTTTTGTAATCTTTATAATTGTTTATAAAATTTATAATTTTTTAATTTGATGTTTCCATTTTTTTGTTGGTATTTTCTATTTGTAATTTTGTATTTTCCTTTTGTGCTTTATATATATAAATGAAAAAATATATATTTCATTTATTTTAATTAAGTATAAATAAAAAATAATAATAATATGAAATTATGTCCTCCGGGCGTGACGTACTGACACGTCCTAGTGAAAGAGTTCGTGCCTGTTACAGGTTGCATAATTAAAAAGGGAACTCCCCGGTTAACAGGTTAACAGCTGTTACTATAGGAGTACAATCAATACTTCTAGAGTAGCAGATTTTACAAAGAAGGGAGAACTTGCATTACTACTCTTACTTTTTTAAATATATTGTTATTGATTTCAGAGAGGAAGGGGGAGATAGAAACATCAGTGATGAGAGAGAAACATTGATTCGCTGCTTCCTTCACGCCCCCTACTGGGGATGGAACCTGCAACTCAGGCATGTGCCCTGACCCAAATCAAACTCAGGACCCTTCAGTCCACAGGCCAGTGCTCTATCCACTAAGGCAAACAAGCTAGGGCATACACATGTTTTTTGAAGCACATTTATAGAAGTATATCATTGGATTCTCACAGAGTTGCTGGAAAAGGCGGGCATTATTTTTAAACTTATTCTGTAGAAGAGGAAACTGAGATTCTAAGAGGTGAAGTAACTTGGTCTTGGTACTATGTCTGGTACTATCTGAATCAGGACTCTCAATTTGGTCTTCTGATGCCAAGCCCATGTACCTTCCCTATCAGCAGTGTGCTTTCTTTCCAGCTCCACCTCCACCAATATACAAATGTGAACGACCAATATACAAATGTGAACCAAGATGAAGGCAGGGGCAGGAGGAGGTGGAAGTGCTGGGAGCCTCCACACCAGCTGGTTCAGTCCAGAAACAAAAGAAGTGCTCACTTTCTTCTCTGAAATAACAGACACATTGCCCAATCCTGTATCAAGGGTTAGAAAGTTAAAAACCTTTTGGGTCACAGTGCTCTTTTTGAGAGGAAGTTTATCAGGGAATTCATGAAACTGTTGTCTGAAGCACAAACATGTACCCACAAACATACTTCTTTCAGTATGTGCACTCATACTTAAAGGGCCTGGGTAACATTCCTAACACCTCATATGTGCATAATTTTATATCATTTTCATTTCAATGCATGTTCTCTGAAGGCTGATGTATGTCTAACTTAAGGAGATGCAAAGGTGAAGGGTGGCAGTCCTGGCCTTTAGGAACTTGGGGGAGCTCTCAAGGCCACATAAAATCAGTGCTCTAATAATTTCCAGCAGGGTTTAGGGAGCAGAAAATGAATTTCCAGTTCAGTGCAGTAATCCCATCTATTTGCATAGTGCCTAACAGAGTTTGCACAGACCTTAATTCATTCAAAGGGATGGAGACCTTTGGGATGGGTTTTAATAGCTGGGAAGAAACCTTAGGCCAAGAGAAGGAGTTGAGCCAAGGATCTGCTTGGTTGTGGAATCTTGCCCTCTGAAGAAGCTTTTATTAAATGATTGCATGCATATTAAATAAGGTCCCACAGGTCCTACAAGTGTACTGTTGATGATAAAATAGACTATGACAGGCTCCAGAGAGGAAACTATCAACTCCTTGGTAAGATTGTAACACTTCTCCCTTCCCCTTTCCTTTAGTGTAAACAGGGAAGTTAAGCACATTTTTTCACTTCATTGTCTTCCTACGTTTTTTTCTTCCTAGTTTCAAAAACAACTCTCCTTCAACAAGGTCTGTTTCTAAGGAAAGTCTTAACCATTTGTCCCTTCTGGCGTACCCTCTTCCAATGAAACCCATGCAGAATAGTCCAGGTACTCTATCTTTTGTGTGTGAAGCCCTAAAAATCTAATATTGAGTGTGCAGCCATGCTCAGAGGTATGCTTCTTCCACAAGAGGCTCCCTCAGCCCTGCTGTGGTAAGAACCAAGTATAAATTGCAGCTAACAGGGTTTTCTAGCTAGAATCGTAAGAATGTTTGAGCATCCCCTGTGCATTATAATACCACCAGCCCTCTGGCTCCTCCTCTACATTGCCTGCTTGTTGGCTGTTTTGCTTGTCCTTGGGCCTTCCATCAGAGTGTGGGCAGGGGAAGGAGAAAGAGAAGTGATTCTAAAATCTTCCCCATCTGCACTTGGTTTGCAGTGCTGGTGAGAAAATAAATGGGGGCCAGGATTGACATTGGACTGCACACAAGGCAGAGCAAGAGGGACAGTGGTCCCTCCTCAGCCTATTGTCACAGTGGTCAGTGCCCCCTCCCTGAGCTCCTGTAGAATTTCTCACTATGTTGAGCAGCTCTTTTCTTTTTAATATACATTGGTAAGGGTGGATATTTGGGTGCAGATATTTAAGATTAATTTTTTTTAATTCATAGTGTGTTACACAAGAGGAATCTTGTGTTTGAAGCTGTTGGCTAGAGTAATATTTTGAGATTCTCTATGGATTCCTATTATCCCTGTGTTTATCTCTTCTATAAAATATAATTGAAAATCTGTCACCAGATCCTAAAAGTGGGAGGAAGAATGCACCTAAATTGAGCTGTCAGACACTTGGCTGCCTAACGTGCTTTCTGGATTGTGATGTTGAAAAGGGTTGTCGTTCTGTGTGCTTTCTCCTCATGGCTGTCATGTATTCGCCTCTGAGAACAGTGCATAGAAGACGTGCATTGGCTCTCATCAATCTTCCTGAGTCATTTCCCTGATCATGTTCAGGAGGGTCCTCTGAGAAGAGAGTGGGCCTTTTCCTTCAATGGGCAAGAGTTAGCTTCCATTTCAAAATATCTCAAAAAAAAAATAAAAAAAAAATCCAACAACCCAGAGCCTGTGTTTATTGAAGGTTGGTCTAAAAGGCTCTCACACCATATGCCCCATCAGCACTCGAGTGCCTCTATTTTAGAAGGATGTAAAGGTTTAATCACCCTGGTGGGGATTTAGACCCTGAGACTTCAGAGAAATCTTATTATTTCTAACTGCAGGCAAAGAGTATTAAGGCTCCACTCTGGATCAGGGGCATGACATGTTCTGTAAGTAATTTATCTTTACCAGGGGAAGGCCCTTACTAGAGTGTCTTAGAAACAGTACTACGATTGGGTACTGGCTCATTATTCCTCCTTTTCTCTTTCTTCTTCTCAGTCTCCTGCTTATTCTTTTTGTCCCTACTTTTTCCTGCCCAATGTCCAAATATCTGCCTCCCAAATTTTCCCTTTAACAGGGGGGCACCAGGTGCCTGCCAAGGAGAGATAATAATGCTTTTGCAATAAATGACCTCATCCAGCAGCCTGGTGTAGACCTGTCAACTGCACACTTCTGAATGGACCCTACCTGTATCCCCTCAAATAAGGAACAGAGAGGGAAGCGTGTGTTCTGGCTCCATAGGCATTCACCTGTGCTCGTAGTTATCCCTGCCCTATTGTACCTTCACAGAGGCAATCTCCACTGAAGGCCTTTAAATTCCTGTGCACATCCACATAGGGATGTTACTAATCATATGATTTTTTTTGCATGTACCTCTTCCAACCTCACCCTCCTTCCTGTCTTTCTGAAGCTAGAGAATGTCACAGGTGGGATTCTGCTTATGGATTCATTGTTCTGTTTGGGGACTATAGTTTGATTGGTGGCAGATCTAAATCCATGTGCTAATGAGCTTGGTTAAAGCAGGCCTCTGCTATCCTCTTTTAATCTAGCCTGTTTGTCTGAGTTTCTTTCCACAGTTAATGATCTGCTGTAATGGTTTTGCCTTTAGTTTTGCCTCCTGGGTCAAAACAAATCAATAGTCCTCACAGATATTTAAAAACCATCAGTGTAAAGCTCCTGGGTCTCAGCGCCATCCCCCTCCCCCAGTTTTGTTTTGTTTTTGCTTCTGGGTAAACTTAAAGCTTAATCAGTACAGTGATATTTCCCTCGCATCTCCTCTTTTCTCGCAGAGATGGGCAGCAGTGAACCCCTTCCCATTGCAGAAAGTGACAAGAGGAAGAAGAAGAAGCGGAAGGCCCGGGCCACTGACTCCTTGCTGGGAAAGTTTGAAGGTTGGTCATGCAACTCTCTTAGAGCAGGGCCTGTGGCTCCCCAAGCATGGGAGGAGCTTCCCTAAAGGTCTAGATCACAGGATCTGTGTTATCATAGAGCTAGCTCATGGTTATGTGTATGATAGCGATGAAAGAAGGAGTGCAAGAGTATACAAGGAGTGACAGAAAGGGAGAGAGCAGAGATGAGAAAAGCCCTTGGATGAGGCACAGGCTTCCTCCAAATGGTCAAGGAACAGGAAGACCAATCTGTCAGAGTTGTACATGCAGTGAGATTGGCTGGTGTGTTTCAGCCCCTTCCAGATGTGATCTTCCCCTCAGCTGTTCCTAGAAGGGCTGTTGAGAGGTAGAACAACCATGTAAGAAGAGGAAGAGAGGGCCATGGCTGCAAATGAAATTTCAATCTTCGGTAAGCAGAGAACTTGACTCCAAGAGATTGCAGCTACTTGTGCTGAGTTTGACACCATTTTAAGAGTGACTGTTGTGTTCAAAGGACACAGTGTTGATGATCAAAAATTTTGAATCCTGTGTGAGGCACCAGGCGCAATGCTTGTCCTGTTACCACTGGGCATGTGGTGGGATGGAGTGAATCACTGAACATTTCTGCAAAGAATTGAAAGGATCAGTAGCTACTCCTAGTAGTGACATGCCCCTTCATCTATTCTGTTTCTTTTGTGAAACCTGAAATAGCTTCCCCTCATGGTCCCTCTTTACAGTATTGCAGATACACTAATGAGTTGATTGTTTTATAGAGTAGTTCTAGTGACCAGCCCTTTATGAGTCAGGAATATTGGACTTCCAACCACCAACCTATTCGGACATGTGTAAAAGGCTAATACTAAAGTGTCCATTGTGAGTAAAGCGTGTTATTTAAAATACTTACAAACAACAGAGTGTATTTTTTAAAATTTTTTATTGCATTTATTGGGGTGACACTGGATAATAAAATTATATAGGTTCAAGTGTACAGCTCTATAATATATCATCTATATATTGTATTGTGTTCACCATCCAAAGTCAAGTCTGTTTCCTTCAGTATTTATCTCCCCTATACCATCTTATACTTCCCCCCACACCTTTCTCTCTTATAATCACCATACTGTGAGTTTGTTTGTTTTCTGTTTAATACCTTCACCTTTTTCCAGCCCCCTAACGCCCCTCCCCTCTGATAGCTGTCGGTCTGTTCTCTGTATCTATGAGTCTGTTTGTCTTTAACCCAGTCAGTAGATGTGTGTGTGTGTGTGTGTGTGTGTGTGTGTGTGTTTGGCATGATTTTTAGAATAATTTCCAAATCAACAGGTCTTGCTCTTTCAATGAATATGAGTAGTTCCTGTTATTCAAGGATGGCTTGTGCAATTGTAGGGCTTCTCATGACTCAGAGTGATAAAATCTAATTTCATGGTTAAAAAGTATTCTACGCAGTCTGTGGGTTTAAGCGTTAGGCTTCCTCAAGAGGAAGAAGCCGAAGAATGGAGGCTAAGGGAGAAGGAGGCCAGCTCAGTAGAGACTATGATGGAGCTGTAGTTTCTTTTGGAAGGGCTCAAAGAGCCTGTGCTATTTGTGAGCTTGGGCAGGCCACCTAAATGTTCTTTCAACCCAAGCCTATTACTCTGTGAGAACCACTCTGACTCAGCACCCTAAAAACCTCGAGGCTTCCGTTTACATTTATGTGTCTCCTATTTCCTGTGGGTGACTTCTGGAAACTTTTCAAAAACCTCCAATGAGGGTCCTTTTTGTGTGGTATAAAATAAAACAATGATTTATTCCCCTTTGTATCACCAATGCCTAGCACAGAGCTGGGCACATAGTAGATACTTAGCAAATGAGTAAATGAATACATAGTGTTGATTCAAATTCATCCTTCTATGAGGATGCCCCAGATTCTCTGAACAGATAGATATAAACTTTCCCTTCCCTGGTTCCTTTTTACCATGTCTTGTCCTCTCTCTGATAGTATTTCCCACTGTCTAGTTTATTCTGGGGTCATTTGTGTACATGTCTGCCTCCCCCATTGAACTGTGATTCTTAAAGAGCAGGAACTGTATTTTATTCCTTGCTTTGTCCCTATTATGAATTTAATATGCTGTCTGACAGATAGTAGGTACTCGGGAGATATGTGTGTGAATTGAAACCCTTTCACTGACTTCATCAAATGGGGAACAGGTGTCTTCTACATGATCTGGTTGTTGAGAAACTGAGTTCTGAAATGGCCAGGAAAGCTAATGGTCTTCCTCGTCACCGTACTATGACGATCACTGTATGCCTGTGTTGTCAGCCCAAGGAAGCTGAGTGACAGAGCTCTTCTTTCCATCTTAACTTGCAAAGGGTGACTCATCTCTCATCCATTTCATCTCTAGATGTGTACAAGCTGACCTCTGAATTGCTTGGAGAGGGAGCCTATGCCAAAGTTCAAGGAGCCGTGAGCCTGCAGAATGGCCAAGAGTATGCTGTCAAAGTGAGTGTCTCATCTGGATGCCAGGCTTTATTTTGTACATAGTCAGTGCTAAACCAAATAAATTTCATATGCCCCAATGTGGTGGCTCAGTAAGATTTGGGGCTCCAAAGCTGTATTCGCTGAATTCAAATGTTGGTTTCTCTACTTGCTGTGTACCATTAGACAAGTTACTAAACCTATCCATGCTTCAATTTCCTCATCTGTAAAATAGATGTAATTATAGAACCTATATATTATTTTTGTGAGGATTAAATAAGTTATTTCAATAGTATGTGCAAAGGGCTTGAAATAATACCTACCTCATAGTATGAATGCTTCTTATTAATCTGACAAATGAAATTAGCTTCAGGGAGTAAACAAACAGATTTGGAATCAGACAACCACATGAATCTCTGTTTTGACAAACTACTACTATTTGACCTTGGTAAAATCACTGAAAATCCTTGAACCTCAGTTTCCACATCTCCAAAATGAAGATAATAATACCTGCTCTTTCTTTCAATTTATAAATATGAAAATAAAAATGAACTGGTGTTAGTAGAAACATTTTACAAATGACAAAATGCTCTACAAATGATGTAGAGCATTGGTCAGCAAATTCATTAGTGAACAGAGCCAAATATCAACAGTACAACAATTGAAATTTCTTTTGAGAGCCAAATTTTTTAAACTTAAACTTCTTCTAACACCACTTCTTCAAAATAGACTCACCCAGGCCAGGGTATTTTGTGGAAGAGCCACACTTAAGGACCCAAAAAGCTGCATGTGTTTCACAAGCCACTGTTTGCCGACCACAGATGTAGAGTATCATGATTATGAGGAAGGAGCACTCAGCTATGGGACAGGAGAGGTGGCTGCTAGCTTTGTGATCTTGGAATGGCTCACTTCACCCCTCTGTGCTTTCACTTGCTGACCTCAAATGGAAGAAGAGACTGATTGAGAGCAGTGGCTCTCAAAGACCCTGCATCAGGGTCTTTGTATTTTTAACAAGTTTCCAAGTGATTCTAATATCCACCAAAGTTTGAAAACTACTGATCTAGAAACAAGGTCTTATTGACTCCAAGGAGGCAATTCAGACTTATTTCAAATCATCCACCTGAGCCACCAGGCCTAAGCGGTGCCTCATATGGGAAGACTCAGTCAAATTGACTCCTGGAAGACGTGTGGTTTTTAAATATATATATATATATATATATATATATATATATATATATATATATATATATATATATATATTATTGATTTTTTACAGAGAGGAATGGAAAGGGATAGAGAACTAGAAACATCAATGAGAGAGAAACATCGACCAGCTGCCTCCTGCACAGCCCCCACCAGGATGTGCCCGCAACCAAGGTACATGCCCTTGACCGGAATTGAACCTGGGACCTTCCAGTCTGCAGGCCAACGCTCTATCCACTGAGCCAAACCAGTTTTTGCAAGATGTGTGTTTTTTAACCAATTGGCCATAGTCCCACCTGTGGATTTATTAAGGGGAAACTTCTGCTAAGCCATGTTCCTTTTTGTTGCAGTATTGTTTCATATGGTAACAAAAGTACTGCCAATCCTTTTTGGAAACAGATCAGTATAAATTACAAGTAATTAAAAAAAAAATAATATTCATTAAGGGTGGTAAAAACTGCAAATGTCAATTGATATTCAAATGTCTGAATATATTTATGGATGACAGACCAATTTCTTCAAAGTTGGCTCATAAGAGGAAAACCAGGCTCTTCCTCCATGTCCCCTGGCATCTTTGGGCAAAGATGGACCCTGGCTTGGCAATTCTCGGATTTCAGCAGTTTTGTCCATGTCTCTCGTGTTTCTTGAAAACTCCCTAGAGATGGGCTGCTTCTCCCCACATGGCTGCACAATATTTGGTTGTTTGTTTGTTTTTTGTTTTTTGTTTTTAATATATTTTATTGATTTTGTACAGAGAGGAAGGGAGAGAGATAGAGAGTCAGAAACATCGATGAGAGAGAGTCATCGATCAGCTGCCTCTTGCACACCACCTACTGGGGATATGCCCGCAACCAAGGTACATGCCCTTGACCGGAACCAAACCCGGGACCTTTCAGTCCCCAAGCCAATGCTCTATCCATTGAGCCAAACCAGTTTTGGCAATATTTGGTTTTATTAGGGCTTTCCCTATCAGCATCCAACTGATAAACACTAGAGTCTCAAGGTGGGAATGAAATTTCAAGATAATCTAGTGCTGAATATCCTCTGTAACTCCTCAAATAGCTATACCATGTTCTGCTTCCCCATCTCTAGTAGTAGGAGTACATTTCTTCCTCAGAAAAAAATTATGCCATTGCTAGATAGTTTGCCTGCTCGAAAGTTCTTCCTGACTTTGATCTGAAATATTTGGTGAACGAATTAGCTGAGTAGCTTCTATGCCCCAGCACTACACCTCTCTGTGCAGAAAACGGGCCCAGAGGTTTGCTAACAGACATGGACTTATTTAGAAAATTGCATTGGTCATGGATGTGTGTGCTACAACATATTGGAGAAGTTTGTGGTGTTCTACTCAGCATCCATGGAATGAAGGAACAGGATGTCATCATCAGCTGCCCGCTCATCATGTGGGACTGTGAAGCAGAGTGAGCTCTGCAGAGCTGCAGTTTGGGACTCTGGATGGGTCCGAAGACATGTTCAGAGTCAGCCACTCCCTGTGTAAACTACCTGCTCATCTGTTGGCTCACGCATCCCTTCAGTCAGTACTTGCCAAGCGTCTCCAAATACACGTGAGGAGAAGAGCATCCCACAGTATCATATAAGGCCTCTGGGTTTTCTTGAGAGAAGATGTATAGGATACAGGCAGATATATAGGCTAGCAAGGGCTTCGGAGGCAGCTCTAGGCTTGAATTCCAGCCCTGCCACCTCTCAGAGCTGTGGGCACAATGTTTTACTTCTTTCTGTCATTTGGGATTTTGTTGTAAGAGTTAAGAGATTATGTACCCAAATGACTTTTTATCAAAGGTAAGTTCTCAGATGAACTGCAGAGCTGGCATTGACCTGGGCCCTTCGTTGCCCCTTGCTCTTCCTCCAGCACTAGGAGATCCTTCATTAAAGTTTATAAATTCTTACCGGAAAAGCAAAAAGAGATATCCTTGGAATAAGAGCTGGATAGAGATAGCTCTTTGTCTTGCTGGCTGCCTCAGTCTCCCCTAGGCAGCTGGGGACAGCCCTCAGAGGCTTCTGTGGAGTTGTGCTTGGCCAGAGTCAAACAGCCCAGCCAGGCTGGAAAGCCCTCGGGCCAGTCTGCAGCTTTGCTGGCAAGGCCACAGGGCCTATACTGCCAAGTCCTACTCCAGACTTGTGCTTGTAACTGACTTGGGCTAAATTTGGCCATCTGTTCTGCCAGAGGGGCTCCTGCTGAGTGGTGTTTTGAGTTCAGGTGTGAGTATTTGACAGATGTTGTTCTTCCCATAGATCATTGAAAAACAAGCAGGGCACAGTCGGAGTAGGGTATTTCGAGAGGTGGAGACGCTGTATCAGTGTCAAGGAAACAAGTGAGTATAGTGTTGGGCTTGTTGCTGCTTCTCTGGGGGGATGTGTGACCGCAGAAAAGGGTTCTTTCTTACCACTCCTGACCTGAGCTCACTCCCTCCCCCCCCACAACTGCATATGGCTCCTTTTGTCTTCCAACGTTTAGAAAAAAATAGAGAGAATAAATAACAACAGCAAAGAAGCTATCTCCTGTTTAGGCTGAAATGCTATAAATATCAGCAATTAGGCCAATTAGACGAGTGAGCAATCTGAATTAGTGCCTGGGACAAAAATCGAGTTTTATTTCTTTCAAGTGCCTGTGGAAACTAAGCTGCCTAGTGGAAACTTTTAGGAACCTGCTGTGATTAATGGATGAGGATGATGAGAACTATTAAGAATATTTGCTGTTTTCTGTTTGTATGGTAGTTACATATATGCAGCTAATACCGAGGGTCGTGAAACCCGGTCTAAACCTCTGTGCTTGACAGCTGAGCCAAGGTGCTCTCCAACCCTGTCTGAGCCTGCTCACCCTCAGCCCCAAATGAATGGCTCTCCCGCCGTGGCTTTAAATCAGGGTCACCTCCAAGACTTCGCTTTCCCCTTTCTTTCTCTTCACGGTAGGGTCAGCAGGGAGCCAATGGCCCGGTATTGATGGCTTTGTCATTAAGCTTGGAGGATGGGGGCTGCTGTTGATTTAACTCCAGGCACTGCCTCTACAATCTTCTTTCACATTAGGCCATTTTGGCCATCTTATTTGGACGCCTTCACACTAGTAAAAGCCTGGTGTCTCCCAAAGTGGTCAGCATTTTTTTATGAGGGACAGATTTTTTATTTTCAGCCTGCAGCTTCTGAGTTCAGCATTAGAGACTCTACTTGGTTTATTTCGTTCTTTAAAGGGGGGAAAAAAAGCCCCAACACCTTCAATATCCAGGCTGGTGGCTTCCCTACTGAGTTACAAGACGACCTTGTTGGCGGAGCACAGTAATGCTCAGGCAGACAGGAGTGCTCACCGGGGAAGGCCACAAGTGCTACGGTGGCCGGGAACACGGTGTTTCATTAAGCAGCGCTTAGCAGTTAGGGTCTAGTGGTGCCTCCGTTAGGCCCCAAGTCTATTTGACAGATGTTTCCATTTTCTCCAGGCAATGTAAATACTGCCCCGTGATTTATGGGCAAGAGGGAGGGCAAGTAATTATTTGCTGCTTGCCTCCAGGACACACACCTACTATTCAGTGTTATTAGCCGCAATTGCTTCCAGTCGGCTGCAGATTTTATTCAGTTTAATGTGACCAGGACTTTTTTATAACTCTACCTAGTGGGTTTTAGGGTTGGGGTTTGACAGCACAGACTTCGTGAAAACACCAGAGACTAAACATTATGGAAAGATAAGGTGACCTGAGCCTTGCTAACACCATTGGCTGCTTCTCAAACACGGGTCTTTAATAAGCATTCTGATTTCAGGTTGATTTCTGCCCTGTTACAGGGTGTTGTATATATTTTTTCATTGTATATTTGTAAATGGACTTTAATATATAATACCATTTTTTCCTTTTCCTCCTATTTTTCCCTACTTAAGGAACATTTTGGAGCTGATTGAATTCTTTGAAGATGACACAAGGTTTTACTTGGTCTTTGAGAAATTGCAAGGAGGTACTTACTGTTGAGTATGTGTTTGGACTTCTGATTAAGACCCAGGGTGGTGATCATCCATCATGAATCCCAGAGACTTCTAAAACGAGTCAAGCTAATAAAAAGGATGAAGGACTTAAAACTGCCCTTGATTTGGGAGAAGGGAGGCCGGAGGGAAGGATGATAATTAGCATTTTGCAGAGCCTAGAATGTCACCTGTGTGGGCATTCTATAAATGCCTTCTCATTATAATAGGGCTCATAAATAGATATATGTAGTCATCAATTTATCAATCCATGATTTGACACATTCACTATTTAACAGAATTAATTGTGGGTGGAAGCTCCTACATACATTGTGAAGTCCAGAAAGGCTCACCAGGGGAGAGGAGGGTTCCATTGTTTAGGATACAGACCAAGGATAGAGAAGAGGCCCAAGAATGTGCCAACCTTCAGTTAGAATGATGCTGTTCTTGACTACCACCACTACTGCCATCATCTATACACACAGTCACCGGCATGCATGCTGAAGTTGCTTTTCAGAGAAAGAGAAGCGCTTGACCTCCCCATCACTTACCCAACCTTGGACACATTTGCAAGGTGAAGGTTAGGGAGGGTGTCTGGCACTGAGTAGAGGACTATGTGGAGGGGTTTGATGGTTAAAAGACCGTGCTTTAGAAACCAGCCAAGCTAAGTTTCAGTCTAGCTCCATCACTTACCTTGGGCAAGCCACTTAACCTTCCAAAACAGTATTCTTTCTTCTGTAAAATAGGGATAATGACAGCACCCACCTCTTTGGGATGCTGTGAAGGTTAAATGAGATGATTCATGTGAAATGCTTAGCTCAGCACCTGGTAGGTACTAACGGTTTAATAATTATCAGCAGTTAATTTTATTAAAACAATTGGCTATGATGGGGGCTAGCTGAGAAGTATGTTACACTCCACCTTCCTTTTTAACAAGTTTGGAAACAAGAGACTCCACTGCAGCAAGGAAAACATGAGATCTAGCCAGGAGCTGGTTTTCTTGGAATGTTTCCTAACATGTTAAGATCCCTTGATTGTTTCATCTGGCAAGTGAAAGATCTTTAATCTCATGTCCGTGCCAAAAACAGAATAAGTAAACATGTACCACTTTTAGGACAACACCTTCAGTCCAGAAATACTGGCTTCCAGTAGTGAGCATAAACCACATTGGAGCCAAGCTATATGTATATGCTAGTGCCTGTATCTGCCCCGCCCCACCCAACAGCACTAGGACTTTGAATTACATGATTTAATACTCGATGCCGCCGGGGTCATCTGTACATATCACTCAGAGTGCAACTCTACTGAGATCAGACCCAATGGGTAAAGAGTGTGATTGGCTCAGGGTAACCCATCTGCCCAGCATTTGGGCTACAGGTCTTCCTGAGGGGAAGTCTGCACAGGTTCTGGGGCCAGACTTACTGGGCTTAAGTCCTGATGCTACCACTTATTGGTGTATGATCTCGAACAAATTGCTTAACCATTCTTGTGTTTAGGTTTCCTATCTATAAAATGGGGATAACTGTATTTTATATATTTTGTACAGTTGTGGTGAGGCTAAGGTAATCTATTTAAAGAGCATTACACAGTGCTTGGCACATAGCAACTACTCAATAAGTGTTAGCCAACAAAATTTACTTGGTCTTTGAGAAATTGCAAGGAGGTACTTTGCTATTAAGTATATGTTTAGACTTCTAATTAAGGCCTGAGGTAATGATCGTCCATCATGAAACTCAGAGACTTTTCAAACAAGTTGCCAATAAAATAATAATAATAATAATAATAATAATAATAAAGTTCAGGGGAAAGCAGTTTTTTTCTCTTTTTTTTTTTAGATCTTTGCATATCTGGTGAGGGTGTGGCATTTCTGTTTGTAGACTATGCTGTCCTTTGGATCTAAAATTAGAGGCAAAGGAGGAAAAATTCCTACAGAGAGGCCCCCTATCCCAGGTGGATTCACTTGTAGTTCTTTTTTATTCCAGAAGCCAAATGGCATTTACATATTTTGGTCATTTAAATAGTTGTTCTCACTCTCTTCTGTACTCATCATAGACAGATACAGAAGTTAGCAATCGGAACGGATTCTATTCAGTGCAGTTTTGTGCTAGTACTTCCTCTGTGCCAGGAACCACACTTGGTGCTAGACATTCAGCATTGAATAAGCCTATGTCCCCCACTCAAACCTGTGGACACTAGGCCTTTGACAGGTTGTACTCAGTAAAGCCTGAAAAGGCATTTCCCTATGTTCCTCTGCTTCCCAGGCTCCATCCTGGCCCACATCCAGAAGCGGAAGCACTTCAATGAGCGAGAGGCCAGCCGCGTGGTACAGGATGTGGCTGCTGCCCTTGACTTCCTGCACACCAAAGGTAAGCCGAGCCTTTGCTGTGGTGGTGGGTTGGGCTAGCCAGTCTCTAGGGACCAAGGGAGCAAGGCAGGCCAGGCAGAGGGGCTGGGCCAAGAGCTGGTGCAGCTGGCAGCCTACCCATGAGGGTGAGGGGGAAACCAGGTGCCTCCAGACTTCTGATGTGGGTGGTGGATAGATGAGGGCCTGTTCAGAATGATAAGGATTATGGAAGAAAGTAGGGAAGAGAACACTAAAATCATGTTGAATAGGTATATGTGGGTGTGTGGATGTGGATAATTTTCTTTCCCTTTTCAAATGAAGAATGCAAACCATGCATCATACCACCTCTCTAGTATAAATATGTGGGTGTTATTCCTTCTAGTCTTTTAAAATATACCACCTATATTGGCATGATAGTATATTTGTAATTTTATATCTTGTTCACAATAACTGGAAAATACATTTTTCTATTAACATGGTAAGTTTGAGGTATCTGTTGAACCTCACAGTGGTAAAAGGCAGGGCTGCTAGTGTTTGAATTACACTTTGGTTTACAATCCTTATTAGGATTAATTATCTAAGTTTTTTTTTTTTTTTTTTTTAGTAAATTAAATGTTTTTGAAAATTGGGTGTTTTTCCATTTCCATAAATATATTTAATTATAACATACATTTTTTAATTTGCCAAACTGCAGTGCCATAGAAATAATGAATTCTGGCTTTACCTTTTTACCAGCTAGAATAATGCCTACTCCACAGAATTATGGTGAGAATTAAAAGAGAATTGTATCACCAACAGTAGTTAACACTTAGATAGGACTTGTTATGTGCTGGGCACTATTTTAAGCCTTTCATCTGTACTTACATAATTGAGTGTGTCCTATGTGTGTCTACATATACAATATGGAGAATAGTGCCTGGCACATAGTACATGGTTCTTCAATAATATTATTTCCTCCATCCTTATCCCCCACTAGGCAGAAAGCATTGTTATTCCTAATATTCCCTTAAAGCCGTGGTCGGCAAACTGCGGCTCGCAAGCCACATGTGGCTCTTTGGCCCCTTGAGTGTGGCTCTTCCACAAAATACCACGGCCTGGGCAAGTCTATTTTGAAGAAGTGGCGTTAGAAGAAGTTTAAGGTTTTTTTTTGTTTTTGTTTTTTAATATATTTTATTGATTTTTTACAGAGAGAAAGGGAGAGAGACAGAGAGCCAGAAACGTCGATGAGAGAGAAACATCAACCAGCCGCCTCCTACACATCCCCTACCGGAGATGTGCCCGCAGCCAACGTACATGCCCTTAACCCAAATCGAACCCGGCACCTTTCAGTCCACAGACCGACGCTCTACCACTGAGCCAAACCGGTTTCGGCAGAAGAAGTTTAAGTTTAAAAAATTTGGCTCTCAAAAGAATTTCAATTGTTGTACTGCTGATATTTGGTTCTGTTGACTAATGAGTTTGCTGACCACTGCCTTAAAGCATTCTACCTGATGGGAATAATTTGTGACTTTGCTCTGCTCCCTTCACTTCTGTGGATGTGGGCCAGCTTGGCTGTGAGTGCGCAGGACCACTGTAGGCATCCTGCTCACGCACCCCACCTTGTGCTGGCAGCAGAGTGCAGGCTGGTGCGGAGGTTCTGGTTCGTTGATTCTACTCCACTTCCTCCAGTGGCTGGGGGAGATCTGCACCCAGGCCACACCATGTTGGGGGCCTGACTTGTACATGGGATGAAAATTCCTAGAAGGGGGGGAGAGGGGGGCCTGTGCTTTCCGCAGCATGATGAATGGCAGTGGTTCTGTTTCTGAAAGCTGGGATGCATGTAGGTAACACCTGCCTGACAGAGATTTACAACTGCTCCCCAAGCTGCCTCCATAGATTGCAAAACTGGGTCACGCTTTTTACAAGATCCATACCTTAGAGGGGAGTAAAGGGGCTTTTATTATTTATTTATTTATTTATTTATTTTTTACAAAAATGCACTAAAGGGAACAGAGGCTTGTGGTGTCTGAAGAGTTCTGAAATGCTTGTTAGCATCTAGCTGGCCAGCTGCCCATGTGCCTAGAAGTTGGAGGGAATGAAAAACGATTTCCAGCTGAACTTGGCTGTTTTCTAAATAACTTCACACCGGGAAGATGAATTGAACAAGAATGGGTCATCCCGGAAACAAGCTCCATGCTCTTAAATACTGGACACACTGCAGCTTAACCTCTGGGAAATGAGCTGGAGTAGCTGGATGGCTGGTACGCTCACAGAGGCAGACCTATTATTACACATGGCCCTCAGTTCTCAGGCTGGGGAACGCTGCGGCCATCAGCACCTATTTGGAGAGCAAGGCTCCATGCGTGGCTCATGATCCTTCTGTGGGAGCACTTGCTGTAATGGAAAATATCTTTCACTTTTAGTGAGGAGAGCTGCAGCCCGACTCAATTTGTGCAGCCTGGACTGGGTTGCTCTGGGTTCTCATTCAATTAGGTGACTGATGAAGTCATTGAGCCTGCTGGAGCTTGGGTCTTTCCTTTCATGAAGAGCCTCCGGTGGGCTGGGCCTCTGTCACCTGCCAGGGAGTCTGAGAGATGGATGACCCAGGGAGTTTCAGTAAAGCGGACTCTGCTTCTTCCTGTTACCCTACAATCCTCTGCTGCTCTCCAGTCCTTCCAAGTAGTAGCTGTTAGGCATTGGCTCAGCCTTGCAGCCCTCCTGTCTCTGCCTCATACATACATTCTGCAGGAGGAAAGAGAGGGGGGAGGTTTCTGGGTCTACCACTAGAATTCCTTAGCCCTCCCTGTGAGATGGTTCTTTGTCCCTGTCTTTGGTTAAAGGTGGTTTCCTCCTAGGTGCCTTCTTGGCCCAGTCAATAGACTTTAACCCCTCATGTGCTCAGCTACCATCTGCAGTCTCCTTTAGGAGGGCTGGCTGAAAAGCAGGGGGGAAGAGGCTTATCTGAAGAACACTCATAGGCCCAATCAGGCCTGCCATGCTCTGGCAGGACTGTCTTGGATATGCGGAGCAGGAGAGAAGGGAATTGGGCAAGCTTTGGGAGATTGTTCACTAACACTTGATCCTCTGAACATTAAGGAGGTCCCACTGAAGGGATCTTTTTTTTAAATCGGCCACACAAGAAGAAATGAGGTAGAGTAGTCTCAGCCCCCAGAGATGCTCTTAAACAAGGCACTCATTATTTCTGCATTGCTGTTCCAAACATGGCTGTTTGCAGAGCTCTTTGCTCTGCGTCGTGTTGGGCTTCTTATTCCTGGTTGTCCCCACAGTGCTGAGAGGTAGGCTGGCTGGGATTGATTTAGCCCTTCTCATCCTGCCCGACTTCTAAAGCTTCTGCTTCAAACCGACTTGCAGACTCAACGGTGCTTTTGGTTTGTCTCTGGTTACTTCTGCCTCCTGCAGCTCGTTGACTTTTTAATGTACCATAATTGGGAATTAATCTGCGAACAGCAGCATTTGGAAAAAATTAATTGTGTGTGGAATGTTTGATAATTATGTGCATATGTTAACCATTTCCTTGCTCTTTGTCATTTCAGGCATTGCTCACCGAGATCTGAAGCCAGAAAATATATTGTGTGAATCTTCAGAAAAGGTACTTAGGATGTTACAGTGTTTACACTGATGTGGGGGAGCCATCTTGCTTTCAATTTTGATTAGCAGTTTCCAGGCTTATTCCTTGTCCCTTCTTTGCTGTTTCAGCAATGTGATTGGCTTTAATCCTGAGAGTTTGTAAAATATAGGAGACCTACCAAAAATGAATGTTTTCTAGTCCAATGGACATACCTTTAGAGCAGTTGATGGGAGTCATAAACAATAACTTAATCTTACATGAAGCAAATCTCTGCCTATAAATATTGTTCCTATCATGGTATAGATGTCACTAGAGGTGATAATTAGGAAGCAGGTTCTTTTTTTTAAAAAATATATTTTTTTATTTATATCTTACAGAGAGGAAGGGAGAGGGATAGAAACATCGATGAGAGAGAAACATCGATCAGCTGCCTCCTGCACACTACCCACTGGGGATGTGCCCGCAACCAAGGTACATGCCCTTGACTGGAATTGAACCTAGAACCCTTAAGTCCGCAGGCCGATGCTCTATCCACTGAGCCAAACCAGTCAGGGCAGGAAGCAGGTTCTTGAAAAGAGTTTCTGTTTCTTTTTTTTGTTGCCCATTAGAAAGTAAACATTTATACCTGTTGTTGAACAAATGCCATCTATTTTAAACTTTCTGTCAACTCAATTTACTAGTAAATGGAAGTGTTTGCATTTCCATAAGCATGTATGAATTTGACAGATTCTGTGTTTGCTACGAAGGGATTAGGCCCTGATGGTTTCGATGGCCCACATTTATAGTTCTCTCTGTGTGTATGTGTGTGTATGCATGAACACATGTGTCTTGGTCTGAATTAAGGGATAGCTCATACATGAGGAATGGCTGAGTAAACACTTAGTACTTACAACTTTTGTGGGGAATAATAATGTTTTAGCTCCAATACGATCTTGTGTCTTCCTGTCAGTGACTCTGGCATTGATATAATTTATCATTATTATCATTATGATTATTAATAATTGTTATAGTTAACATTTGTGTGCTTACAGTGTGCCAGCACTGTGTGGATATACTAAATATTTTTTTTAACTATTTTATATTTATAAAATCTCATGAGATAGATTGAAAGGGGATGGAGGGGAAAATGAAGAGAGGGAGGAAAGAAGGAAAGGAGCAATTGGGACTTGTCCAGGCTCCCCCAGGAGGTAAATGTGTGATCTGAGACTCCCAGAACCAGCACATTTGATTCTGTGCTGCTTCCACCACACAGACCATTCTCCTGTGTGCACACAAACCACCCTCCTGCGTGGCTCCAGAGATGACTGTCTCAGGCCAGCCATCGTGGTTTGCTCTGGCCTGAAGGAGGACTTACAGTGCTTAAACCGACAAAGTCCCAAGCAAGCAAAGACAAGTTGGTCACCCTAAGCCACCTGAGATGGTCAAGGGTTATTTTACTCATAATTCCTTTGCCCTCCACCGAATGGTCTGCAAGGAGTGTGTCAGGAATACATACTGACTTCTCTGACTTTTTGTTCGTCAGCAGGATTCCATAGGTTTGCTTCTTGTCTTATACTCAATTCATAGTAGCCTGACCATGCTGTGCAGGCATTTTCTCTTAGTCAGGAAATAGGCAAGGGCATGGGGAAGAGGACACCGTAGGATGAATCCTCAGGTGATGCCCAATTAACCCGAGGAGAGTAAGCATGACTTGACAGGTAAAGCTGGGCTGCAGGGTGGCAGCCACATAACTGTGCACCCACATAGTCACGTTGGTCTCGTCACGGCCATTGGTTTCTTATATTTATAACCTTCACGCTCTGTTTTCCTTTTTAGGTGTCTCCAGTGAAAATCTGTGACTTTGACTTGGGCAGTGGGGTGAAATTGAATAACTCCTGCACCCCCATAACTACACCAGAGCTGACCACTCCGGTATGTATCACTGGGCACTCTGTGCCACCTCCTTCTGAGCTTCTGTACATTTGGAGTGCCCCTGACCCAGAGCTCTGGAGTCCAGAACAGGGGGCTAAGGAAGGAAAGCGAGCATGTCTGTACCTCTTCCTGCTGCCTGCGTTGTCACCTGGCTCACTGCTTGTCCTGATGCCGTCCTCCCTGCCCAGTGCTTAACTGCTAATGAAACTGACATTAGAGCTTTTAGCTTGGGGTGGGTCCTCTGCCAATGAGGAGACAAATTACATCTATAAGAATAGGCTGAGCCCTGGATCCCGGCCCAGGTAAAGACAGACACCACCCCCAGGCCAGCCCTTTGGCTCTCTCAATGAAAGCTCTGAGAGTCCCCTTCCTTCTGCCAAAGTCGTGGCGCATCACCTAGCGATGGTGGATGGGGAGTGTGGCTTCTCTGTGGCAAGAGCTGAGGTCCCGGGCTCTCTGCATGCAGGCTCACACGGCTAAGTTGTTCTGTTGCTTCTCTCACTTCACACTTCATGCCCAGATGGTGCTGCTGGGAGCTACTTCTTCCCACAACATCTCTGTACATACTCGATATTCTGTAATTATAATCCTTTGGAGATTTGCTTGCTTGTAAATGAATTTTCCTAATAATCTTTATTAAAGACATGCATTTGACTATGCCCATGTCTTATTCTGAGCAACATTATTAGCAATGTTTGTTTATTAGCTTTTACAACACTGAACTACTTTGTTCTCAAAGGCATTAACTCTAATTGCCAATAACAGAGAAAATGTCCTTTTTTCACTTACCATCTTGCCATCAAATTAGAATGTGTATTGGAGGTGTTTGGGGGGGGGGGGGAGGTTTCCTGGTGAACCTGAAATAATGAAGAGGGGGACAAAAAGCATTATTTATTTTTATCAGCAGTTTCTATGCAGGGATGTGAGGAAGGAATCCTGGTTCCAGGCTTTGCCACTGATGTGCTTAAACAACTTCCTGTCACATTGTAAGGCTTGGTTTTTTCCATCTGTAAATGGGAGAAGCAGGGAGACTGGATTTGTTCTAAGAGTTCTCCTAGCTATGATGGTCTCTTAATTCTAAATCCTTGGGCATGCTTGCTCTGAGCTTGCAGGGAAGCTAGGCAGGACTTCGCTTGTAAGAAATTCTTGCTGCATGGAATCGATCTCCACAGATCTCCCCCAGAGCCGTGCATTGAAGCACCTGCTTATTAAGTGACTGGATACAGAGAGCTGAGGCAGGGAGCGATTCCTGGAGCTTCTTGGCCAGGGGTCTCTGCTTGCTGGAGAAGGAACAGAAAAGATAAGGTGACCTGGAACTGGTCACATGGATCACGGGGATGATAGGACTCAGTTTCCCAATGTTCAGTTGGCCTAGCTTTTCTAAGTGCGTTGGTGGCATCAGGCGAGCTCTCTGGCTGGCTTTCCTCACAGATCTGCAGCTCCCTCCTTTTGCTCAAGTCCCATTACATTCTGCTCTTTGCCATCCCCTCTCCCTGTGACTAAGCCTCTTTCTTCTCTGTCACTTCCCTCTCCCCAACCCTGGCCCCCACAGTGTGGCTCTGCAGAATACATGGCCCCGGAGGTGGTGGAGGTCTTCACGGACGAGGCCACGTTTTATGACAAGCGCTGTGACCTGTGGAGCCTGGGCGTGGTCCTCTACATCATGCTGAGTGGCTACCCCCCCTTTGTAGGTCACTGTGGGGCCGACTGTGGCTGGGACCGGGGAGAGGTCTGCAGGGTGTGCCAGGTGAGTGCAGTCCCAGGACCCACTGCAGAGCGGGGTTGGGGGCCCGCAGGGTTGCGGGATGCCAAGTGAGACTGGGTTTGGGGATTGCTCCTGATCTGGAAAGGGGTACATAGTGCCCCTGCCCTCTTTTGTCCAAGGGCATCCACCAGGTGAAATAGAGATACCTGGGCAGTTAGCCCAGCCAATTAGAGAAGATCATACCTCAGCTGAGTCTGCAAGGAAAGCTAGTATGTGTGGCCTCAGGGGAAAGGGGGCAAGATATACAAGTAGAAGAACAGCACAAGCAAAGACACGGAGGTTTACAAAGACACAGAGGCTTGAATGTGTAGAGGGAAGACAGTAGCATGTAAGGCAGATTGTGGTGAGAGATGAAAACTTAGAGGTTGCCAGGAGCCCATTCCTGGAGGACCCTGTGTTAAGGGCCAGGGGATCCAGGCTTTGTTCTATGGTTGATATTTCTCACACATCACCCACCAGCCTGCCAAGTAGCATAGCCATCTGCCTGCCAAGGGCATTCTGTGTCATTTGATGATTTAGGGGAGAGGATAGGGAGTCTGTGGCTTCAACTGAAGTCAGTTGCGCACAAAGTGATCAGGCCTGGCCTGTATCACCTCAAGAGGAATCTTCTTCACCTAGAACAAGCTGTTTGAGAGCATCCAGGAAGGAAAGTATGAATTTCCTGACAAGGACTGGGCACACATCTCCAGTGAGGCCAAAGACCTCATCTCCAAGCTCCTGGTTCGAGATGCGAAGCAGAGACTGAGCGCCGCCCAAGTTCTGCAGCACCCATGGGTGCAGGGGGTGAGTGACCCAGGGAGGGGCATCGTGCCACCTCCTCAGGCTGCAGTGTGGCCACAAGGAAGCTCTCAAACTTCAGCTGGAGGGAGACTGTACAGCAGTTTCAATTCCTGTGCACACAGCATGAACTGATTCCTAACCCAGCCCCAGACTGAGTCCCACCCGAACTGGTCATACACTTGGTCACAGACTGAGGCCCACGCTGGCCCATGCTTCCCTGGAACAAACAGAGGCCTTTGGGGAATTCGGCAGAGGCATCCAGCCCAGGAAGCAGCGTGGTGTAATGGGTGCCTACAGTGCCACCCCCTTGTACGAAGACCACTAGCTGAGAGCACTCAGGAGCAGGGCCTTGCTGCCTGCTTGCTATGGCTGCATGAGGGGCACATATGGTCCCTTTGAGATCCTGGGGTCTGGGTGCATCTTTTCCAAAGGCAAATGGTGACATTTTCACCAAACTATCCAAAGTTTCTACTAGAAATCATTTTTAACCATCCTTAGTTATTGATGGGGCCTGACTTCTGTCCTCCTCCCAGAGGTCTGCCAGACCTCCTGGGAGTCATTATATCTCGGCCTCAGTGGCTCCGACAGCCCCATGTTACAGGTGGGACCCAATCCCAGTGTCTCTCAGTGGCTAATTCCCAGCCACTCAGGAGTTGCTGTGTTTACTGAGTACTCGCCACATCAGACACTTGCAATAGTGGAATGAGTTAGACCCAGTCCCTGTCTTCATGTTCCAGTGGGGAGAGGGAAACAGGGGATTGAATGGCAGGGCAGTGTGGCAGACACTTGGGGCACCAGTGGACAATGACCCACCTCTGCTTAGGACAGGCCGTGGCAGGGAAGGGGGAATGTCTCACAGGGGAAGGGGCTTAAAGCTGGGCCTTGGAAAATGGTGAGGACTTTGCCAGACAAAGAGGGCTCTCCATGCAGAGGCCACTGAGCTGCGGGCTGTTCCCTGCTTGTTCTCTCCTTGGCAGGCCTGGCCAAGTCCCTGTGCTGGGCCAGAGCCTGTGGAAACATGGGTGGGGCAGCTTTTGAAGGAGGGAGCAGCACTTACCCACAATCTATCCTTCCCATTCTAGCAAGCTCCAGAAAGGGGACTCCCCACGCCGCAAGTCCTCCAGAGGTAAATGCTCCCACACACTCAACACTCTTCCTTCTTTGGCTTTGACTTCCTCATGCTCTCAGCCACATGGGATGGAGGTGGGGGTGGGGAGCCCATCGCTAGGCTCAGGCATCCACCTGAAGAGGCTCCTGGCCTGCCTTCTCCCTACTTCTCTTCCTTTCTTTACCCCCAGCAGTAAATGTCTCACCCCTTCTCTTCCTCCACCCGGATGGCTCCCCCAGTCCTCCAGCATAGCTCCTCCCTGTGCTGTGCAGGAGAAAACCCTGTTTTGCATAAACAAACACTTGAACCCTAACTAGAAATCACCATTTGCAGCCCCTAAAGCAGACCTTATCTGTGGGTTATTACAAGGTTTCCTTCTGCCACACGTGGTTTGGTGAAAGTAGCAGGAATCTGGATACTGTAAGGCAGTAGGATTGATTGTGATATAAATACTACTAGACAGTAATAATGGCCATGTATAATAAATACCACATGCCAGATGTGGTACAAAGAGAGGTATTCCTATTATCCCATCTTATAGTTTAGAAAACTAAGGCATAGAAAGATGAAGTTAACTTATCGAAGGCCTTGGGAGTTCAACTTTGAACCCGGATCTGTTTGATGTTAGTGCCTTTTAACACATAATCACATTCTTGGTGAGCACTGCCCTGTTCCCAAAGGGCCAGGGATAAAGCATTGTGGGAATCCCTCCAGGAACCAACCTCGCTGCCAGTTTCTGGGAGTTTCACAGGGAAGTCTTACACTTTTATATTCTCAGTTCCCTTGAGCTAGAATGTACTGCCCAGCTTGTCCTACCTGATTCTTTGGAGCTGTATCCAGATGCTCTGAGGCCCCAAACCTCAGATCCACTTTAGCAGTTTCATTCAGCACACCCCAAGTGCCTGTATGTGCCAGCCCTGAGCTGGCTGCTAGGGACAGACACAAAGGGCCAGGCCCTGCTCTTGGAGTTCCCTGCCCTGACGGGAGAAGGATACACATGGGTGGATTCCATGTGCCCAGCCCTCACTGGGAGAGCTCTGTGCACAGCTGTGGAGGAGGGTGTGTGGAAAGAATGGGGCATTTGTCCCTCAAGTCCAAGGACGGTAATTGAGACTTAAAGCCATTCCAGCCTCAGTGAAGTCAGATTCCAGACCATGTAAGAACGATTTTGCAGAAAGCAGTCTTATGCCCGCTCAGGAAAACCCGGTAGAAGTGTGGACTTCAGCAGTGGGCGGGGATGTCAGGGAGCTGGCCTGGCTGAGGCCATTGAGTCCTGCCTCCCTCGTTTCTCTGCTTTTCCTTCTGTCCCTGCAGAAATAGCAGCACAATGGACTTGACGCTCTTTGCAGCCGAGGCCATCGCCCTTAACCGCCAGCTGTCTCAGCACGAGGAGAATGAACTGGCAGAGGAGTCCAAGGCCCTGGCCGAAGGCCTCTGCTCCGTGAGGCTTTCTCCACCCTCCAAGTCACGCCTGGCCCGGCGGAGAGCCCTGACCCAGGCAGGCCGAAGTACGGACGAGGGGCCATGCCCCACCCCCACAGCTCTCAACTGACTCCAGTCACACCTTCAGACCTTAGGCCTGTCCAGGTGTTGCCTCATGGAAACCTGTGAGGCCAAAGTCTGCAGAGTCCACTGAGGGACCTGCTGTGGGGCTGGAGCCACTTTCTCATCCACAGAGGCCCTGAGGTTCCCACCCAACCCCCCATCTTCCCCAGAGACCTCAAGGAAAAGGCTTTTTCCAAAGGGGTTGTCTTTGAAAAGGAAAGCAATCACTTGTCACTTTGCATAATCGCCTGAGGCAGGAACATCTCTGCTGGGCTCCAGCCCACCTGCTCACCCGCCTGCAGATCCTGGATCAGCCTGCCAGCCGCTCTCCAGAATGGGCAGCGTGGCGGCTGGGGCTGCAGCCTTCAGGGAGGCAGTCTCAAGAAACATCAGTTGACAGAGGCCCTTCCCTCCCTGCGCAGTCACCCCCCACTCTGTCTGTCCTTCCACCTTCCTCTGTCCTCCGGATGTCCTCCCCCTGGGCTGAGCAAAGCCGTCCTCTCAATTCAGGGAAGGGCAGAGAGGCTCTGCATCCCGGAGCCAGATCAGTCTTCCAGTCTGTAGCACAGAGAAGCACATAATCTTTCTTTGCCGTGACCGAAATGTGTCCCTCATTTATCATCCTCTTCCTTGTTTGGGATTGCTGCTAAAGTCAGTATTATTTCATTTTTAAAAAGTTTTTTTTTTTTTTTAACCTTGTCTTCCAGTAAAGATGGGAGTTAAAACTCCCACTTGCAAGCCCATGGACTAACTAGAGTACGCGGGGGCTCTTCTTTTCCTGAATGCCCATGCGTGTGAAAGGTTTTAACCAGCTGTTTTCTATTATTTTAATTGGTTTTAAGTGACTTAGAGTCCAAGTCTGCTGCTGCCTCTCAGGCCTGATGTGGAAGGTAGCACAGGTCTGGGGCCTGAGGCAGCCCAGCTGCCCGGTCTGAGTGATGTGGTGCTTGCTGCCTGCCAGGGAGTGTGAAGGTGAACCTGGCATCAGATGAGCTGAGCTGCTGAGTTAACTAAAGAAAGTTGATATGCATATCTCAGGCAGACATTTATACTACACCATGATGCTGTTATACATTGTGCTTGTTTGAATAAAACTTTTAAATTGAAGCTGTGGCCTTCCTGGTAATCCTTTCTTCACCTGCAAACCTGAGGAGGAGAACGGACTGCATTGGATTCACAAAACAAGGTGAAGGAGACACGATTGCTTTTCCTTTTCAGGTGAGGAAATGAGGGTCATCAAACATTTGTCCATCTCCTAGTCTGTGCCATGACCCAGCAATGAGTAAGAAATAGCCTCTGTCTTTCAGGGTCTCCCCATCAAGGAAAAGGTGCTGTTGGCAGGCTGGCTTCAAAGCATGCTTTCACCGATGCACCCTCCACACAGCTCGGCCCACCTCCCGGGTGGGAGCAAAGTTCCCCTCTGTCTAAAGCAGCCCTTCTTGAAGACCCATTGTGTGCCGAGTTGGCAACCAAGAAAAATGGCGCCTCCCATCCACAGCCTGCGTGTTCACCACGCAGAGGGCTCTTGTGTGCGTGTCCCCTGTAATCTCAGAGCCAGGCTGGAAAGGACTAAGGCAGGGCCTTTATAAGTCCCCAAGGAGGTGACAGGAGGGAGAGCTGAGTGTCAGGACAGTGGACTGGCAGAGTAGAGCTGGAGTGGGGACTAGGGGCTCTTCACTAGGGCAGCTGTGGTGATGGGCCCAGCCACAGCTGCCCTGTCCTGTGAGTGCCTCCAAGGGATGACAACACATCTACTGGCAGTCTTCTCTCTGCAGGACCATCACCACCTTCACATCCCATCTCCATCTGCTCAGAGTAGGTTGGGCTAAGAAATCAGGCTGCACCATCTGAGTCTTTTCGCTCCAAGTCTCCCAATGCCTCAGGATTCAGGGTCAGGGTATGAGTTTTGTTTCTGGACTCCAGCCCCAACCTGGTCAGTCCTTCAGGTTGGCCCAGCAGGGAGGTGACTTCCAGGGGTTTCCTGGATCACACACTCCCTGCGCCCAGCCCCACCCTGCCCTGCACGCAGCTCCAGCTGGTCCCTCCTGCTGCTGAGCTTGTGCCCAAGCTGTACCCTCACCACCCACCTCCCACCCCAGACCACCTGCTGGCCCCCCATCCTCCACTCCTCTCTGTAAATGCTACTGTGCCTACTCTGGTTTGCTAACTTTAATGTGCAAGTTCTCTCTGAGAAGCTTAAGGCATTATCACATTTAATTCTCACAGTAGTCCTATTCGGAAAGGTACTATTATTTTACCCTACTTATGAAAAACCAAGCAGAAAAAGGGAAAATATCGCTTTCCCAGGGCTGTACAGCTAAGAAGGTGGAACTGGAATTCTTTCCAGAGAGACTTGGGACCCAGAACTGGGCTGCAGGGTTCAATCCCAGCTCTGCCACTTACTAGCTTTAGGTCTTGGGTAAGTTGTTTCATTTCTGAGGGTCTCAGTTTCTTTCACCAAAAATTGGGCAGGCTGTTGTGAATTACAAATTAACAAATGTAGAGCATTTAGGCCATTTCGGGCACACACAGAAAATGCTAGTACTCAACAATTGTTAGCTATGATCGTTTTGGTTATTATTATTATTATTACCTCTGGTTGCAAAATTACTCAGCTGGGTCCCAGGGACGGAGACGAGCTTCCCCCCCTTCCTAGGCTGTGGGTGGAGCTGGGTCTGGGCTTTCCACCTGAGCCGGGTAACCTGCCCTTTAGGGGATCCTCTGCTGACAGGCTGCTCTTCCCCTCTGAGGTTCCTGTTCCCAAGGGGCAGCGGCAGGTGACAAGGCCCTGAATTCTAGTCCTTCCTCTGCCTCTGTTCACCAAGCAACTAGGAAGGTTGCTAGGCAACCATAGGAAGGGCTTTACTCTTTCTGAGGACCAGGCCATGTGCCTGGCTCTGCTGGCAGAGGCAGATGTGGCAGGCACACTGGGGGAGGCTTTGAGGCCTAAAACTATGGCAGCTGGTTCCCAGGCTCTAGGATTCACACTTAGGTTGGACCTTAGGAGAGAGCTGGTTCCAGACAGTGGCGTGTGCCAGACCTCAGGCCTCAGCATAAGGTTAGGCCAAGGCTCAGCATAGGCCCGATTTCCTAGCCCAAACCACTCCTGTATGAGCTCCATCTGGGGCCCGGGCACAGGGACCAGTTGTTTCTCTCGCCAGGTCCCCACCTGCCTGAGCTCTAGGGCCCTCCTCCCTCCCTCTTGGCTGCCCCTCACCTAACTCAGCTCCAAGAATAGCAATGCCTGGGTCCTGTGCCAACTGTTCCAGCTACTTAGGTCTGGAAGAAATGGAGGAGCAAGGTTCCCTCATGGCTGGCACTGTCGTTGCCATGGTAGCTGTTGCCTTGGAAGCTGCTTCCCAACTTCAGCTTCCAAACAGCCCGGAAAGCTGCCCGTCCCCCAGGGGAACAGTGAATTAATCATGCTCTTTTCCAGGGTCCTCACCCCTCCAGGAAAATAAACAGAACTAAACGAAACCCGGGCATTTTTGCCCACTCTTCCCACCCCTACACCACCTTTGGGTCTGGAAGGGAAGTTCAAGGCAGGCTCCCTCCAGGGCTTGTCTCACCAGAAGACTGTGATGGAACTGAGTGGTGACCCATGGCCTCACCACACCGAATGTGGGTCTCGAGGACCCAGGCTTCAGGGAAGAGGGCTCTGAAGCTTGTGGGGTGGGGCATGGTGAGTGGTCCGGCTCTAGTGCCTTGCACTTCCATGTTACTTACCTGTTGTAGTAAGCATATTGTCCAAGGACAGATATGCATTTCAGAGATGATACAGCCTGTTTGGAGATGAGAACTGGCAAGCCTTCCTCTCTACATGTGTAATCAATGGAGGAGCAGGCATCAGAAAAGTCCCTTAATGACGCTCTTCTGTGATGAGGGGAAAGGTGCAGGCTGGACTGATCTTTCAGCTTACAAACCCTAAAAGAGCTCACAGTGCCTCTTTCTGCAGCCCTAATAGGGAAGCTGAGGAAAGGTATATGTTTTTTCTATGGGAAATGCTGACCCTTGAGAAATGGGATTTGAGTTGGGGACAGACATGTAACAAAACTCAATGAAAAACACCTAGAAGCTGTCTTCAAAGCAGCCAGCATCTTTTGGTAGGTCTGGATCTCAGAGCGTTACTAAAGGGAAACATCCATTTGTTGTTCCACGTATTCATGCATTCATTAGTTAATTCTTGGATGTGCCCTGACCAGGAGTCAACCCCACAGTCTTGGTGTATCGAGATGATGCGCTCACCAACTGAGCTACTGGCCAGGGCTCTCTGTGATGTCGGAACTGATAATGGCTCAGTGTGTCTCTCCTCCATATTTCCTCCTCCTGTCTGGGCCCTGAGGGATTTAAAAACTCTAATTTGTTATTTGGTCTCCAGTGTTTAGAGGTCAGAATGTTCTGGAATCGGAAACTCGTGACGCACAGGCATCCCTGTCTTCAGCCTCTGCCATCCCCCTTCCCATTCACAAGATGAGCAAAGCAGGACTTAGGCAGAGGCGTGGCTGGCCCACGTCCCACAATTCCAGATGGGAGACATGGCCTCAGAGCCCCTGTCTTGCTGATGGACCTGGCAGCTCCCCTCAGCCTTACAGCATGAGGGGAGCCAGCACAGGTCCTGCCCATCGGGGCTATGCAAACACATTATGGAGGCGAGGGCTCTGTGGAGGATGTTCAGATTCCCAATGCTCCTCATCTCAGGAACGTTTTCATGGACAATTATTTTGCGGCTCCTTCTGAAACTAGTCAGTGGGGGATCAATTACGTGTAACAGAAACATGGTCTGTCATTTGATGCCTAATTAGAGGAATAATCAGACCTCGTCCTGGTGAGAGGCACAGGGGATACTGGCAGTAATGGCTGAGGCTGAGCAATGTCCACCTCCAGGGGCTTTCTCCCTGTGAGCCAGGATCATGGCCCAGGGAGCCCATGGGTGCTCTGCAGGCACCTCTCCTCTCTACACCAATTTGAGTTCATACCTGTCCCCACCCAGGCCTCTCTCCATCATCTCTCGAGCATGCCTTCCCGGGGCTGTAGCTCAGTCAGGTGACTCTGGCCTTCTTAAGCCCCCCACCCCCACCAAGGAGAGCCCGTGTTAGAGACAGAGGTCCTATAGTGCCCTCAGCCCTCCTCTATGCCCACTTGAGGTGGTTGTGAGGGTCCATGCCTTCCCTGAGCTCTGGTGTCCTCTGGCTGTGGCATTCTGTGGAGCTCATTCTCTGCAACTGCCCTCAAGGGCTCACAGGCTGCAGAGGGTCACAGAGAGAATGAGGACTGATGGTGGGCACTTTGGGACATGGCAGCAGTGACAGGCAGCCCATCCACTCAGGCAGTGTCAGAAATGGCTTCATAGAGTGGGGGCTGGCTGAGCAGGGTCCCTAAGGATGAGGAGGTATTCACTAGACTGCAGGAGCCAGGCGGATACTCAGCAGGAGGGCAGCCGAGGAGAAGGGAAGGGACTAGGGCCGGAGGCAGCCTTGGAGACAGAGACCATGGGCCCAGCTGTGGTAGACTACAAGTGTGGTGGGAGAGATGGGAAGAGAAACCAGTGGGCTGGGATGAAACCTGGGTACTATGCCCAGGTATGTAGGTCCAAGGCTAAGGTTAGGGCCATATTCTGGGACCAGGGAGCCTCTGGTCCATATAGGGCCACAGAATACCATCCATGATGAGGGCTAGAACTGGAGTGGGGTAGGGGTGACAGGGCTGGGCTGCCTGGGCTGGGTGAGCGCTGCCTGACCTCAAATTGGTGGATCCTGCCAGTAGGTCAGATAGGCTGGACAGAGGAACTCGGGCCAGAGGTCGGATGGCGCCATCCATGTCCCAGTCTCCTGACTCAGGCCACGGACACTAGCCCCCTCCTGAGCTGATTCCAATCCAAATTCCTCTCCCAGCCCTAGCCCCCGGGGCCCCCACCACAGCTGTCCCCTGTCAGCTCCCGGCCAGGGTTCCCAGGAGGCTAGAAGGGCTCACTCTCTCAGCCCACTGAAAACTAAAGGGGAGTGAGTACCAAGCCTAATTGAGGAGAAGGGGAAGGGGGGGGGGATAAGCTAGGACTCCTCAGGCCTGCCTACAACCAGAGGTTGCAGGATGGGGTGGAGGGGGGAAGGGAGGGAGGGCAGGCATACAGAGTGGGTTGGAAGGGACACTTCTCCTCCTCCTTCTGTCCTAGTTGCTGTTCCTGTCTCTTGAGTCTCCTCCAGGTCTCCTTCCCTCGCTCTGTCTCTGAGTCCCAAACACACCTCCAAGCCAAAGGGACAGCAGAGTGAGCCCTGAGTTTGTGGCCAGGGAGTCTCCTCACACCCCTGACTCCTGAATCCCACATGAAGCCAGTAGCTCATCCTGCCCTGTCAGGGACCAGCAGTGGAACCTGGGCTGACTGCCCTAGAGGCCACTGGGACCCAGGCAGCAGCTCACATTGCAACCTCATGAATAACTCAGCACCTCCCTGCTGCCTGCATCTCAGAGGAACCTGGCCCCTGGACCCACCCCCTCCCTACTTCTTTAAACTTTAATGGGCCAAGGCTCAGTGGCAGCTGAGCAGCTCCTGGGAGCTGGGGCAGGATGACCTGGGCAGGGGAGCTTGGGCTGAGCTCTCCCAGGCGGAGGCTGGCAGTGGAGGACCTCATGGGGCAGGCCCCGCTCTCCAGAACTCAGGCAGCCAGCACTGAGGGTGGCCAGGCAGGAGTCCCCAAAATGGCCCCCAGCTTCAGAGGCCTTTAGAGGAGGAACAATAAGCTGGCGTGACCTGGAAGAGACCGTAGGTCAAGGTGGGGAACACCGAGGAGAGCTGTGGGATAGGGTTGCAGATAAATCTAAGGGTGACAAGCCCAGGATCTTACTGCCCAGAAACTCCCACCCTGAAAGTGGAGCTCCGACAAGGGACAGCCAAGAGGACCAAGACCTCCAGGACTTTGCTGGGAACAGGCCCTGTCGGCTGACCTCAGTGCCCTGGGTAGGCCTGCATGGACATCCCCGTCAGCAGCAGAGACTTCCACTGCCTGCAGCTGGCATGCGTGGCCCTTGGCCTGGTGGCCGGCAGCATCATCATCGGTGTCTCCGTGACCAAAGCTGTGGCTGCTCTGGGTGGTATCTTTATTGGCGCTGCTGGTCTGGGTGAGCAGGTGCTGGGCTCAGAGAGGGGCATGGGCATGGGCAGGTGAACAGGAAGCGAAGGGAAGAGCTGGGACAACAGGAGAGGGTGGAAGCTAGAGCAAGGCAAGCTTTGGGGGGGGGGGAGGGTACAGGGAGGGAGAGGAAGGTTGGGGGGAGGTTCCCTCCATGGACTTCCAGGAAAGGAGCTGTGCCCCATTCCTCTCTGGCCACCCCCCTATGGCTCTCCAGTCTCAGGCCTGGGCGCTTGGGCTTATGGTAGGATTCATGAGCCTACTGGTGGGTTGATGGGAGCAGATAAAAGGAGACAGAGTTCCCAGTGAACCCTCCTTGAGCCAAGACAGAATGTAGCTCAGACAAAGGGTTTCCTTTTTTCCTCCGTATGTCTCAGCAGCACATCTGTCTGTCCAGGCATCTGTTCATCTGTCTATCCGGGCCAGTCCCACTGATGTGCCCACAGTGACGCTGAATACCATCTCTTACCCCCACTCCACCACCCTGGGCCAAACAGAACCAGAAGCCCTAGGCTTGTGGGCTCTGGACATCTATGTCTGCAAACTCCAGCCAAGGGTCATGGACACTTGGTCTGGGGATAAAGTGGGAATGGCAGGGTTCTTCTGCTACCCCTTCTTCAGGTCTGGGTGGAAATGAGCATACTGAGGAGCCTTCCAGCCTACCCTGGGGGATTTGGTGGTGGTTGTGGCAGCTGAGCCTATTTCCAGTGGTTGGGTGCGGCCTGTAGCCCCTTCCCCAGATAGGCACTGCTCTCTGCTCCTCCTGGGATCCACTGTTAGAAAACGGCCCCGTGCACATACTCACAGGCTCATGTTGACACACCCACAGCCCCAACCTGCACACTCCTCCATGCCAGTCCAGTATCACCCTGGTAAACCACCCTGGGCTCACAGCCTGCCCACAGCTTCATGCAGCTCCCACCCGCCCAGGTCCCTCCCCATCACAGAACCCCTGTGTCTCTCTTTTCAGGGCTCCTGATGTTGGCCTACCCCTTCCTGAAGGCTCGGTTCAACCTGGAACACCTCCTGCCCAACTTAGGTGAGTCCTCTCCCCGTCCCCAGCAGTCTCTGCCAAAGTCTGTGCGAGACCCTTTGTATGTAAGTCTGTGGCCCACTGTGCAGGGAACAGACCCCACATGTGTGACTGCTCCTGCTTGTGTGTGTGTGTGTGTGTGTGTGTGTGTGTTTGGGGTGTTTGGGTATGTGGTACAGGCATTGCTATGACTATAGTACAGCAGATTCTAGCCTGCTGTAAAAATGCCTAAAGTAGCTCAGAGCACCTAAAACTCCCATCTCCCCTGATAGACTTTCCATCTCCCCCAAACCTCCAAAATCTCCAGATCTCCCCACTTCATCCCTGAGCCACCATAAACCATCTTTCTCCCTCAAGACCTCAGCACCCTTATATAACCCCCACTTCATCTTACCTCCCCAGATACACCCTCCCATCTCCATCAATCCTGTGGGGCTTTATATATCCCCAGTTCTCTACTATCTTCTCCTTCAAGGCCCTTTCCCCATCTCCACCCCATCCACACCAGCCCAGAGAGTGTAGAAGATCTAAAAGAACAGAATGGAGCAAAAACAGCAGCAGGAATGGAGATTAGACAACAGGAAGGACTTCTCTTTCCAAAACTGGCCTATTGACCAGGGAACTTGGGGTGGTCTCATCCTACAGGGAACCTGAGAGTCCACCCCCATCCAGCGCCAGACCAGGGGGAGGGAAGATCCAACGCCAATGGCAATAAAGAGGGTAAGTACCAGAAATTCCAGAATCCTTCTTCCACCTCTCCCCTCTGGCTGAGCAGCTCTGTGGGAACCACGAGAAACCTTGAGGGGCATGCAGAAGGGGTCTCCCCAGCCCCAGAGAGCCCGCAGAGTTGGGTAGTTCTTCCATAGGTTTAGTCAAAACCCTTCTTGCTCCCAGCTGAGCTTAGCTCCTCTTGTTTGTCCTCAGGACCTGGGATAGTCAGCACCTTGCTCCTCCTCCCCGCCTCCATCCCATGCCCCAGTTCATTTTCTCACTCTCCCACTGTAGAATCCAACTCTCAGAGCTGGTACCTGAAACTGGGCACCTTCCTCCTGCCCCATCTCCACACACTGGAAAATTCCAGGCAGGACTCTCTAAGACGGCCCAGCCCTCAGTGCCTGGCACCAGCGGGAGGATGCCTCAGCTCAGCATAGGTGCCATGCCAGACACTGTTCCAATCACTTTACATATATTAATTCATCCCATTCTCAGAACAACCATATGAGGAAGGTGCTGAAATTAGCCCCACTTTATATATGGGCACAGGAAAGTTAAGTGACAGAGCTTGGAAGTAGTGGGGCTAGAACTGAGCCCAGGCAGTCAGGCCCCAGTTCCTGCCTCTGACCCCACACCAGGCTGCAGTCCTCTTGAAGGGCTGTTCTGGCCATCCACACCTCTATGAAGGGGGCTGAAACTGCCTCCTGGGCCTCCCCCACCCCCTCCCTAGTCTATCCCACTCTGCTTCAGGTCCCTCTGGGTAGCTCTGACCCAGCGATCTGTCTACTCAGGCAGCCCCATCCTGGTCTCTCCCCCAGGAGTCCGAAGCAGCCTGGCCACTGTGAGCAGAACCTTGGAGAAGCTGAAGCCAGGGGCCCGGGGGACTGGGGAGAGCTGAGGGGCTGCCCCCTGCCCTGTGCCCCCCGCCCTCCACCCCCTTCCTGCCTGCCATCCGGATTTCAGAGCCCTCCTGGGTCTAAACCAGAAATAAACCACGTGCTGGAGATGTCAGACCTGCATTCACCTGGCCACGGCTCTTGGCTACGAGATCCACAGAGTGGGAGTCTGAAGGTCTGAAACAAGATGTTGCTGGAAGCCCTACAGGGGGTCTTTGTTTTAGGCTCTTGACCTGGATTTTCTCTCTGGACTTCAGCTCAACTTCGTTCCATTTTGTATCTACTGACTGGTTTCTGTGGAATTTAAGGTCCAGGAATACCCCAGTCTCTTGCTTCAGCCTGGCCACAGAAGTGAACCACAGGCCCACAGGAACCACAGACAGGGTCCTGGCTGGGCCCTGGGCCTGTAGAGCTCACTGGCTGAATAGAGGGTCTGGATCAGACTCTTTTGGGGATATTAAAACTCTGGGCAACTCCTCAGGGACCTTAGCAGCAGTGAACCAGAGGGGAAGTTGGGGGTGAGGGGGGTAGAGGGATCCTAAACAAAGTGGTCACTGTCATGATGGGAGGCTTCCAGGAGAAGGTGGCTCATCCCCTGAGACTCTTGGTATTTGACTCCAGTCAAGACATGCAGCCTCCTTCTTCTTCCCTCCTCTCACTGTTCCTGAACACTCCAGTCTCCAAGCCCTGGCTGATGTTCTCCTGGAGGCCCCTCTGCTCTGCTCTGCCTTTCGAACCCCCCACCTTTAAAGGCTTAGTTCCAAGAATCCTTAACCATAGCTTCCCCCCTGGTCCTCCCACCAGCTTGTGTCTCCCTCTCTCGATAATCATCAGGCAGGTTGAAGTCTTATTTTTCATAAAAATAATTATTAATCCTATTTAAACCCACTGTATGTTGCCATTTTCCTGTCACCATCAAGTCCCAAGGTGCTCAGAAAAGGTTAATGGCTTAATTGTAATAGACAAACCATCTCCCAGGCTTTCCCTAGAGATCCGTCTCAAGGCCTCCTGTACCTACAAGCTTGGGGCGAGGAGGACCTGGCCCAGGTGCATATGGCTATGCAGAACACATTACTCCTCCTTCCATGCCACTCTTCATACACATGCACCTTCATGGTCTTTTCAGAGACATCTGTTTGTGGCCTCTGAACTGGTCTGGTGAGCAAAAAGACAAAGCTAGGGAGACTCTCATTCTGAAAGGATCTGTGCAGGTGGCACCTCCTCTTGGAAGCCTCCACTGATTTTGCTGTGCTTCCATCACCCCAGGGCTCCCTCCACCATAGCCCACATCACTCTGAATGGCCCTTGTCTATTTCCCCTCTTGAGGGTAGAGGTGGGGAGAGCTAGGCATAAAGAAAATACCCAGTGGAGGTTGGAAAACCCAACCCAAAGTGGGAGAGACCATCTCACTGTACAGATGGGAAGGCTGAGACTCTGAAGGAAAAGGACTCCTCAAGTCCCAAGGTGGGAGATTGGAGCATGCCTTGCACCCGGGTCTCCTCTCTCTCCCTGCCCAAGAACTATTTTCTGCACCTGCCACAAGGACCAGCTCCCTGACCACAGAGGGACAGAGCTCTGTAATGGGGCTCAATTTCATATACTCTGGCCCATAGTGAAGTGTTTCATTCTTCCAGCCTGGGGGAGCCAACTCCCCTCCTTGCCTTTTCCTCCTCCCTTTCTCATTCCTGTTCCTGCTCCTGTTACTGCCTCTTCTCTTTTTCTCCTCCTCTTCTCAAAACCTCATTATCATCAATAGTACTTCGGTGTGGTGGCCCCTCCTTGATCAATAAGGAACCCTTCCTCCTGTCTGTCTTCAGTCCTCACCTGCAGCACCCCCAAAAGTGCCCAAGGCTGGAGGGGGTGGGAGTGGAGCAAGTGGAGCCTGAGCTCTCCCACACAGGGCGGCCCACCGTCTACCCTTCCCAGCCATGATCTCCCCGAGGGCTGACAGGGCAAGGCACAGGGCAGTGTTGGGGATCAGAGTGGAATAAATTAAGGAATGAACACATAGAAAGGCACTGGAGCCCTAGCCGGTTTGGCTCAGTGGATAGAGTGTCAGCCTGCAGACTGAAGGATCCTGGGTTCGATTCCGGCCAAGGGCACATACCTCCATTGCAGGCTTCTCCCTGGCCCGGGCCCTGGTCGGGGCTCGTGCAAGAGACCACCAGTCCATTAGTGGGTTTCTCTCACTTCAATGTTTCCCTCTCTCTAAAAATCAATGGAAAAATATCCTCATGTGGGGATAAAAAAAAAATTTAAAAAAAGGCACTGAAGAATTGGGTAGGGTTCAAAGGACTCTTGAAACTGGGTGGGAGTTCTTGAGGCCACGCCTGGCTCCTCTTTTCCTCCACCCCCCACTCCCCACTCCCCAAAATGAGCTCCTTGAGACTCCTTCCCCCTAGTGAAGGTGAATGTCCAGATATCCCTTCCCCAAGCATATCTCCTCCACCCACACGCCCTCAACCTGATCACAGGAGTGGTCCATGTAGAGACACATGCCTTCTCACCACCCTTGCTTTGGAAGAAGGTGAGGTTGGGCCAAGGGGGCAGCGGTGGAGTGATGGGTAGGGTTGGGGGGACGTGCCCTCTCATCTCTGAACAGCTCCTGATCCCTGCAATATTTAAGCACTGGAGGGGTGTGGAAGGGCCAGGCCATTGGACCTGCTCTGCCAGTGGTCTGCTCAATAAATGAAATCAGTTCTGTCCGATAGCCCTGTTCTGGCCTGGTTGGGTGGTGAGGGGCGTGCTTGTCCAGGCAGTCCTCTAGGCCAACCTGGGGACTGACCGGCCCGGGGTGGAGTCTGGAGTTTTGACTCACATCCTTGTTCTGGCCCTGTGCCTCACTCTCCTCATCTGCCAATGGAGGACAAGGACAGCAGCCCCCTCAAAGGACCACTGTCAGCATGGAGGGTGCTGGCACCAGGTCACACCAGGGAGGGCTGGGCATGGATGGGAGGACGGATGAAGGGGAGGCAGAGAGGCTTTTCCAGCTGAGCCCGGGGGTCTGGAAAATCAGCCTCTCAGATGCCCACCCGGTCTCTCTGTCACAGCCCAGGCTGGTGGCCTTGAACCTGCACTCCCTCCTCATTCTTTCACCCCAAGAGCCCTTTCCATCATCGCTCTGGGGAGACACGGTCCCTTAAGAGGCTTGTGGCCACACCCCTTTCTGGGGGCAGGATTTGTGGAGGGTGGTTGGGGAACAATCCCATCCCTGGGAGAATCTCCCCGCTCCCACAGCTCCATCCCCACACCCTCCAAGGATGTCGGTCTGAGGCTGCAGACAGAGCCCGGGGGACCAGCACCCCGCGCTGTAAGGGTGAGCGGCGCTGTGTCCACCGCGGACTCAAAAAGTCCAGCCCAGAGCCTGCGGGCGGCTGGGGTTTCTGCAGGGGGCTTGAAACCCACAAAGATGCCGGAGAGGGAGGGGAGATGCGCGGCGAGGAGGGGGAGGCAGGACACTTCGTGAGATCATTGCTTCTCCTGAGGCCAGAGGGAACGAGGGGCCACGACCACGCTGGAATCTGCGCGCCTGGCCGCCGCCCAGCGCACCGCTCGCTCGGCCCTCTCTGCCCAGCGCACGGAGCCAGGGGCTCCCGGTCCATCGCGCCCTGCCCACCCCGCTGTCCAGCCGCCGCGGAGTCCCGATATCCGCAGCCAGGCCGGTGAGTCAGGGAGATCAGCCCACCCTTCCTTCCTACCCCACCCCACCCCATTCCTGTTTCAGGAATCTCTTGGAATCCATTCCTCCTGGGTGCTCAGGGGGCCACGGACTGGCTCAGGCAAGTGAAGGTGCTGGAGGAAGCTGGAGGGAGGATGGAGATAAGAGGAGAAGGGGGAGAGGAGAGGAAATGAGGAGGGGCTGCTGTAAGGAATGGAGGAGATACTTCATCCAGCCCTGAACCCCAGGGGAACTGTGTTGTGTCTAGACAGGAGGTCAGGGACCTGTAGCTTTGAGATAGGGTTCTTCCAAAAGAGATGGGAAAAACAGAGAGGGACCCAGAGGGGAGATAGCACAGAGTGGCTGCTTTGGGCCCCTCTGCTAGTCTTTGATCTCCCCTTCTTTAACTCTGTAAGAACCTGCCCTAGAATCCACCTCCAGCCCCACCCAGCTGTCCATCACTGGCTCCCAAAGTGAAGGAGGAAATCAGAGAGAAGTGGGCACAAAGTGACTTCAAAACTGAGAGGCAGATGGAGCCAGGAAGACAGGAGACACAGGGGACCCTCTGACCAACTCCTCCCTTCACCATTTATATAACCCTATTCCCTGGGCCCCTGGGAGACTCAGGCACTGCTCCGGGGGAGTGGCTGCAAAGAGGATATAATCCTGGTCCTCAGGGAAGGCCACCGGGGGATGCACATCTGGACACAGGAGTCATGGGTTGCCTGCTGATTTGGGGAGTTAAGGGAGGCTTCCTGAAGGGAGTGGCATCCCAGTTGCACTCTGAGGGCTGAGCTGGAGTTAGCAAGTGAAGATCAAGTCAACACGTGGTTCAGGCCCAGGGAGCAGCATACTCGCTGGAGCACACCTGGCGAGTTCAGCTCTAATCCTGCACAAATCGCTACCTGGAGGGAGCCAGGGCTGAGGTTTTAATCAACAGGGAGAACGGGGGAAGGTGGCAGAATGGGGGTGGCAGTGAGACCAGAGGAAGGGCTGGATTCTGGAGATACCTGGAGGGGAGAAGCTGCAGGGCTGGGTAGCAGATTGGGTTGGGGATTGGACTGGAAATGCTCTGGTGCTCTGAATTGGGGGTGGTGGTTGGGGAGGCCTGAGAGAGTCCTGTGTCACTGGGGCTTCTCAGCTGGACCATCCTGACCAAACTCAGCAAAAACTGAGCCCCGGTAAGAGAAACTGCGAGCAAATGGGAAGGCACCCGCAGAGCAGCTGGAATGGCCTCTGCCCCTCATCGCCTCTCCCAGGGCTCCGGCTCTCCTCACTACTGAGTAGCTCCCCTCCACCCCCACATTCCCAGGTAAAGAGAAGTCAGAAGTCTCCAGAGGCACCTCTGCTGGGCAGCACTCATTGCCACCAAAGAGGCAGGCAACTGAGAGAGTGTCTGTCTACCTGTTGACCTGTGTCTGCAATTCTCAGTGTGTCATGCATCTGTGTTTATATTTCTGGTCACTGAGTGCCCATGGGTATTGTGTGTGTATGTATGTGTGTGTGTGTGTGTGTGTGTGTGTGTGCGCGCGCGCTCACGTGCGGGCGTGCACACCCCAGTGCCTGACACTTGGGGTGGGGAGGGGCCTGTGAATTTGGTTGGAGGAAGGGTGGTGGCCACTCTTGGGGCTTTGGGGAGGCAGAGTTCAGTAAGAGAAGCTGAGAGTTTTCCAGGATGTTGAATAAGCCAGCAATGAATATGGGGTTCCCTGAGGATGGGGTGCAGTGGGGATGGGAGGAGCTTGGGGTAGAGAGAGCACATTGGGGCTGGGAGTGGTCAGGGGAAGGGGCTGGCCCAGACTTTTCAGCAGGGGCGGGGGGAGAGGGACAAATGGATTAAGATTAAGGAGAACAGAGGGTTCACAGTGAGGGACAAAATGTTCAGACTGAGAAATGAGTCCCTCAGTCACACTGGGAGGATGGGGGCTGGGCCCAGTGGCTCATGTCTGATGGCTGACGGCTGATATTGCCCAGAGGCTCTTGGGCCCTTGGAGCAGGAACCTGGAGCCAGGAGGCCTGGCAGCTGCCCCTGGCCAAGCAACTGCTCTTGTACAACACAGACGTCCAGACCCATGGAGGGGCCAGGGTGTGGGGCAGGCTGATCTCAAGGGGCTTCAGGCAGAGATTCCCTCCTCAGGAGTTCTTGCCTCCACCTACTGAGGACCTATTGATAATTTGTTGGAGGCTTTCAGATAGCAATAGCATCAAGTGGGAGCATTTTACTTCCCAATTAAATACTCCAGGCTGAAAGTGGCACAAGTCATAATTCATTAACCAGAACAAGTCACAGCCCCACCTGATCACAAATTGGCCAGGAAGTGCAATCTTCACATGTGTCCAGAAGCAGGAAGAACCAAAAAGGTTTAGTGTAAGGTGACCAGACATCCTGCTTTTGGCGGGACAGTCCTGATTTTTAACAATTTGTCTTGCATCTCCAGGCACTTTTTAAAAAGTCCCAATTTTAAAAAATCGGGACTGTCCCGCCAAAAGCGGGATGTCTGGTCACCTTAGTTTAGTGAACAACCACAGTGACAACGGAGCTGGCCAGAGCTCCCTCAACGAAAGAGTGCCCGGTATTGCAACAGCTCCAGCTGGAGGGCCACCGTCCACAGGTGGAAATGGTGGCGCAATTCAAATTGCAACAGCTGAGCGACCTCAACACCTCACCTCTGTGTACCTCCCCCAAATCCCAATTAACCAGGGTGGAGGCAGAAAGAGCCCTTAGCCCTTTCTCTGCCTGGGTGGAAACTCTGGAAGTAGTTTTGTCTTCCAGAGTCAGCTTTGCCAACCAGGGGCAGATAAGAATCATTCATTGACAATTAGCACTTGGAAGCTCAGCCCCTGGGCAGGCATTTTTTGTTGGGCTTAGTGTGCTAAGCCAAAGAGCAGCAGAGTCTGCCTTCTGGAGGGACACTCGGAACACACCCTAGCTTCTCCTGTGCTGTTGACAGGTGAGCAGTGTAAGTGCTAATTACAGAATCTTATCTACAGGGCCTTGAGGAGAGTCTAAGCTCTGTGCGACAAGACAAGCGTTTAGCAAGCCTAGCACTGTGCTAAACTGAGAGCTCAGGCTTCCAGATCAGAACACCAGGTTTCAAATCCTGGTACCACCCCTGCTACTCAGTGGTCCTGTGTGAGTTTAATCTGTCTGTGCCTCAATAGCCTCATCTATTAAATGGGGCTATCACAGTAATAGTTTATCTCCTATTACTGAAAGTGCTCAGCATAGCACAATTAATTTAGCAATCTGAAGATGCTAATTTCAGATTCTCACCTGGACTTGCTTCTGGCTAAGATAGACTAGCTTGTATCAGACCAACTCACTCACTGAGGATAACTAAGAATGCTGGAGTAGACAGTTCAGAACTCTGTTTAAAGACATGGAAGAGCTACCAGGGCTGAAAGGTGTTGAGTGACCATGAACTTGGAGACAAAAGAATATTTGGTTTCACTTTTTCCCTTAAAGCATTTTGCAATTTATAGGGGGCAGTGGCCGTGGAGTTGGCAAGTAAAAATAGGAATTCAGGGCTTAAAAAGAAGGGAGGCCCTATTTTAAGAATAACAACAAAAACAAACTTCAGTTTCTAGTTGGGGATCTTAAAGGGCTAACCTCTGAGAGTACCACTAACCACATATAACCCAGGCTCAGAAAGCCTGGAGCACAGCTCAGAGTCCCTGCCATCTCAGAGCGGGTGAAAGTGGCCTGTCCTTTCTTGAGCTGCCTGTCAGAAGCACAAGTACATCTCTTGAGGAAGTTGACATCATTCAAAGCCTCAGGCTATCTCTGCAATGCTGAACATTTAATAAAAACTTAACTGGCATTCCAAGAGGTAAGAGTAAGTGACCAAAAACAAGAGCAATAAAACAAATAACAGAAACAAGAGAACCAGATATTGGAGTTTTCGGACATCGACATTAAGGGGTTTAATATGTTCAAGAAAACAGATAAGAATCAACAACAATAACAACAAAAAACTAGAATCTTTGGAAAATAATCAAGTGGCAATTCTAGAAATGAACATTCTAGAACTGAATAGATGAAGACACAGGTGAAGAGAGGATTGGCAAACCATATGACAGATCAGAAGAAAAATAACCAGGCAGAAGATAAACAGGCTAGAAAATAAAGAATAGAGTGTAAGAGACATAGAATAATGTCAAATGGTTGAACCGGAGCACAACTAGGGTCTCAGCAGTAGAGGAGAGAAGAAAATGGGGAAAAGATAATGGCTGAAAATACTTCAAAACTGGGGTGGCAGTGGGGAATCAAACCACAGATTGTACGAAGCCCCGGAGAGCCCAAGAAGGATAAATATGAAGAAAAATCTCACCTGGGCACAATTTAGTAAAACTGCTGAAACTCAAAGACAAAGAGACTTCCCTACAAGGGAAAAGAAACTTGGACCCTCCAGCCACCTGGGGCCTGCCCTTCCTTGTCCAGGGTCAGCTTTCAGGTGCTTGTTGGGTAGTGAGGTGAAGAGCCAGACTCCATCCCCTCCACCAGGGCCTCCCTCCTCCCACCTCAGACAGCCTTCCCATAGGAGGGAAGACCTGCCTTTGTCAGATGATGTTGGATATTCATATAGCCCCTCTTTTCGAGCTCCTACCCACCTCATGAATATCCAATATTGAATATTGGACTTGAGAAATGGGGGAGGGGAGTAGGGGCTATATTAGGGAACCTCACAGCCCCTCCTGAGGGTAGCAGGAAAGTTAGGCGTTACCTCCACATCAGCCCTCAAGGGATCAAACTTTGCCCTGTGAGATGAAGCAAGACTGCACACAATTGCACCAGGTCATGTGTTCCCTGACTGGTCTCAGAGTGTCATCTTTTAGTGCAGCCGTTGGAGCCAGCTCCACCTCCCACTCTGAGCCTCCATTTCCTCAGTTGTGAAATGTGGCTGGGAATAAGTATCAAGAATTGTTCTATTCAGTCATGAATGTGAAGTGCTTTGCAAACTGGAAATTGCTGTACCCAGAAATTAGTGGTTACTATTTCTGCTCAGCAGGACCAAGAGCTGCAGGTTACAGAGAGCAAATGGTTCATGCAAATGTGGAACTTCTTCAGGGATCTGTGGTCTGTAAATGCCCTCAAGGATCAACATGGAGTGTGCTGTTTTTTGGTTTGGTGTTGTCTTTTTTTTTTGCCAGGATTTGGGAATTTCTGAATTCCTGCCAGCTTAGTGTATCAGCCCCACGCTTCTGGCTGGAGTCCCAGTAGAACTGCTACCTCTCACTATGGAGCCAGAGAAGGGAGCCCTGGAGTCGTCAGATCTGGGCAGAAATGGAGGTGTCTCTGCCCCTGCCAGGCTCTCTGACCTGCTTGGGCCAGGCTGGTTCAAACCTGTGTCCAGAGCGAGGACCTGAACTACCCTTCTCTGGCACCTCCCCCTCATTTTCATTCACAAGTAACCAAACCCTCTCCATCCCACTGTGTGCAGGCCTTGGACACCCACAGGACAACTCAAAGCCTTGAGCACTTCCACCGGAGGGACAGACCACTGTTTTCTTTGCAAACGAAACAAGGCCAACCTCCCAGATCTGAGAGCTTATTGCCCTCTTGTCTATCAACTGCCACTCTGGCAAATGGCGAACACTCATTGAATTTTCACTTATGTTCCAGGCTCTGTTCTAAGCATTTGATTTAGCTTAAAGCATTTAATTATTACTTCACCCCAAGGTAGGTTCTCTTATTAGCCCTACATGACAGGTGTTAACACTGAAGCTTGGACAGGCCACTTGTCCATGTCAGGCTCCCTTACTTATCCTGCATGCTCTGTTCCCAGGTGTGGTACCATCTGCTTATGTGCCTCTCACCCCACCCAGAGCCCCCCCCCCCCTTTTTTTTTTTTAAATATTTTTCATAATTTTAACACAACTCCACAGTTATGATCTCATCCTTTGAGGGCCTCCATACCTATGACTTTATGTTATAGAACAGAATTCTCAATACAAGTCTTAAATCCCTAGACTCCGATTACCTTACGCTTGTTTGTGCATGCACGCCCTGAATTCTAGAATCCAGTGATGGATCCCAGATATTAGAGAATCCTAGAAAGGAATTCTACCATCCAGTGATCAGGCTTGTGAGTCCAGGTTCAACAATAGAATCCTGGGGGGGGGGGGGGGGGGGGGGGGCCTGGGCAAGGTGGGATGGAGGTAGGATTGGAATCTAATAGAATTCCCAGCTAGAAAGAAGCTGGGGCCTTGGGTCTGTTCCAGCCAAACCCAACCTACATAGGGACTGTCCCTTCTCACTGCCCATCTGAGACATTAAAAGCTCCTCACTCTCATGTGGTCACTCACTCCAGGGCCTCACCTGATGTTCAGGATGTCACTGCTGTGCCTACCATAGCTTAAGGTGGGGACATGCAGGCCAGGAGGTAGGCCATTAGGTCCTGGTCCTGGATCTGGGGTAACTTGCTAGACCTCTTCTGGGCAAGGAGGGGTTATACCAGATGATTTTTATAAGGCTTAGGGGAGGGGGTCACGGGTGTGTGTGTGTGTGTGTGTGTGTGTGTGTGTCTAAATCCCAAGAGGGGCCACTTGCCCTCTAACTACTACTGATAATGATTCTCATTCCAGCACTTTGAAGCCATTCACTCCATGTAATTAGCCCAAGAAGGCTTCCTGGAGGAGGGAAGGTGGAGAGGCTGTGTCTGTCTGGAGGAGAGAGGGTAGGGTAGCATGCAGGATAAGGCTCTTCCACCGGAGGGAGGGACGGACCACTGTTCTCCAAATTAGCCAGAGGGCTCCAGGGACTGGGTAGGAAAACAAAGGGAGGCTCTTTCCAGGTGGGCTATTGCTTCCCAGAGACAGAGGCTGGCCAAGATGACCTGTGCACTCCCAGGCACTGGAGGTAGCCCCAGACCTGACAGTGCGGTTGGAACCTGAGCCACGCTGCTGCTGACCCCTCCTCCCTCTTGCTCTGCCCCACAGGATGACTGGGCGCTTGGCCGCTGACATGGGGGCTGGTCCGGGCCGGCAACCAGAAGGAGCCTGATGGGTGCTCGGCCTCCCCAGACCGATGCCGCCCAAAGGGAAGAGCGGGGGGCCCTCTGCACAGGCGCCCGCCGCCGGCGCGCGGGGCTGGTTGCCGGAGCTGCGGTCCCCCGCGCTGTGCTGCGCCTGCGGCCTGTGCGTGCTGCTGGCGGGCCTGAACGTGACCCTGGTGGGTGCCTTCGCCTCCTTCCCGCCCAAGCACTACGCGCCGCTGGTGGCGGGGCCGGCGCTGCTGGCGGTGGCGCTGGGCCTGTTCGCCGCCTGCTGCGCTTGTAGCCGCCGGGGCCCCGGGGCCCGCCCGCATTCGGCGGCCGCCAAGGGTCCGCGCCGGGGCGGCGGCGGCGGGCCGGTGGCGCTGGAGATGGAGAGCAGCGAGCGCACGGCGCAGGACACCACGGCCATTCAGTTCAGCCCCACCGCCTCGTCCGCGTCCTCCGGCCGCTCCAGCACCGGCCCCACCCCCCGCCCCTTCACCCTGGAAGCCTCCGCGCCTGCAGCCGCCGACACGCCGCGCACCAACGGGGAGCGCCTCAACCTGCCCCGGGAGCGCGCCGCCCCCTAGCGGCCGGGGCCCTCTCGGACTCTCCTGGCCCAGGTCCCTCCGTTCAGTGCTAAAAAACAAACAAACAAGACAAGAGAAAGGACATTTACATAAGGGTCTGGTGCTGAGCACAGGTGGCCTCATGTGTCCCACCTCTAGGACTGTTAGGGGGCGAATGGGTCGAGGCATGCCCCTCACCCCAGGAGGGGGCAGCTCCCTGGCCCTTTAGGTGGAGTGTGCTGGGCCCTACATTACTTCGCTCTCAGACCGAATGAAACTGGGCCTCTGGACCTCCAGTCCCTAACACCACTACCCAGGGCATTTGGACACGGAACAAAGGCACTCTGAGAGGGACTAACTGCCGGGGGTGGGAGGAAAGGGGAGAAGGGGAGCAGTATCAGCCTGGCTGTCTCCTGCCCCTACACACTGAGAGATCACCAGCTCTCCCTTCTGACCAGCTCTCCCTTCTGCTCCTCCCCGCCCTCCTTATCTCTACTCCATGACCTTTGGGGATTAGTTGAGGAGGATGGAGGTTCTGATTTGAGCTAGGATAGTTTCTAAGGTAGAACTGGGTTGTACACACCCCTACCCTCAACTTGGGTGCAGGGGGAGCTGAGGTTAGGGCCCGACGGAGTGACCCAATGAGGGCTCCTCCTGCGCATTCTCTCTGTGCTCACTTCTCAATAAAGCACCTTGGAGTCAAGTCCGCTGTGGCTGTACAGCCCCAAAGGCGGGCCTGATTACAGGGCCCTGGGCTGGGGTCCTCCCATCCTCTTGGAGACGTAGAGGAGAGGACTGTGTGACTGTGAGCAAAAACAGACTGGGGTGCCTGTGAACTGGGGAACAGGTGTGTCAGGCTGGGGGACCGAATGAACATAAAGGACTGTGCCTATGGGTGAGATCGCCCGGCTGTGTGCATGAGGTAGGGAGTGGGCAACACTGACAGCACACATGCATGTGGGGGTGGTTGAGGGCTGTCACCCAGTGGACATGGGAGGAAAGAAGGGCGCCCCATGGTTATGCAAATCCTAGTCTTTTCTTTTATATATATATATATATATATATATATATATATATATATATATATATATATATTGATTTGTTTACAGAGAGGAAGGGAGAGGGATAGAGAGCTAGAAACTACGATGAAAGAGAAACAGTGACCAGCTGCCTCTTGCACACCCCCTACCTGGGATGTGCTCGCAGCCAAGGTACATGCCCTTGACCAGAATCGAACCCGGGACCCTTCAGTCCACAGGCAGACACTCTATCCACTGAACTAAACCAGTTTCGGCCCTAGTCGTTTCTTCTGATCTGGCAGGATTGGCAGTGTCTGGGCTTAGCTGTGCTCTGTGTGGGTGGGTGATGGCATCTGGTAGAGGGCTAGAGGCTGCTTTGCAAGAAGAAACAAAGGACCTGGAGTCTGGGGGGAAGACACTGCAATCCTGGGCCAGGCCCTTCTCTGATTGCGGGGACCCGGGCCAGCAGTGCCTGGGACGGTGGCACACACTGGACCACAACCGCTTGCTGACCATGACTCCCTGCCCACCCGCCCTTGGCTTCTTCAGCCGCCATTTTCCTTCCAGAGTGGGCCTCACTGCTCTTCTGCTTGGGCCCAGGCTCTTCCCACCAGCCCTGAGATTCTGTCTTCCTTCCTCTGAGCCCCGTGTCTGCCTCTGCCTCTCCTGCTGTCTGCCCTCCCATTGACCTGGGGACGAGGGAATCTATATCCATAGGTGCTGAGCAGGCCATCTCTATTAATTCACATGGGTCGATGGGTCCTAACCTTTGAAGATCTAGCCCCTGGAGCTGATGACCTCTTCTCAGCGCACTTCCCCATCCCCACTGTGTGTGTGCGTGTGTGTGTGTGTGTTGTGTGTTGTGTGTGTGTTTTAAGGTTGCCACCCCAGGCTTCAGTTCCAGACCTGCCTCTTCTGGTTCACTGGTCTGCAGCCTCAAACGCCACCTACTGCCGGTAGAGTAGGAGGTGAGGGGGCCACTGCTGATGCTGCCTTGGGGTGTGATTTGGCCCACCCTTCTACACCTTCTTAGTAGGAGACACCCCAGATTCTAGCCCTAAGATGCTAGGCTCAGCCCACACCCCTCTTCACCTGCTGGCAGAGGCCTAGACTTGCACATCATCTTCCTCTTCTCCCTCCCTCAAGAAGACTTTCAGATCAAGGAGCCTGGCTGCTGAGGAGGAGGAACAAACAGGTGATAAGAACTTGAGGCAGTGGGCCACAGAGATGGTGTGAATAAATAGAATGGCAGTGAGGTGGGGGCAGGGGAAGGCATTGTCTCCCTGGAGTCTCTCTCCCAAGGCTGTGCCCTGCTGAAGGTCATTTGCTCCATCTGTGGTGGCTCCCTCTCCATAAGCACACCAGAAGATATTCTCTGTATTCCAGGACTCAGTTTCCAATCAGCCGCCCTAGCAACATCTCCCCAACCCTCAACCCAAGCCTGCCCTACCAGGGGACTCCTCCCCTCACACTCCTTCAGGCCCCTCTAGGGAGGTACACCAGTGCAAAAGCCCTAAGGGGAGAATGAATGTGGCCTCCGGCCATCAGGCCAAGAAAAAAGGATGGTGGGGTGGAAGATGAACTTGGCGGGGAGGAACTATTGCTCAGCTCATATAAAGCTGAGTAAGCCAACATGAGGAGTTGGGATTTTATTCTCAGAGAGATGGAGCCACTGGAGGGTTTTAAGCATGATCTGATTTATGAAGAGCGCTCTGCCTGCTGTGTGGAAAACAGTGTTGGGGACAAGAGGAAAATGGGGTTAGGAGGTTATTGCTGGGGGCTGGGACTGGAGTGGTGGCTGTGAAGTGGACAGATTTGACATCATGTTTGAGGTCTTCTTGTTGGGGGAGTATAAGGAGAGGGAAAGAGAAGAATCTGCGATAAAGTTCTAAAATCTTGGTTAGAGCAGCTGGGCATATCTGGAGAAAAAGCAAGGGCTGTGCTAAGATAAAAGGTCTGTTAGCTCAGTGGAACTTCCCCTGGAGCTGGAGCCACACCCTGAATTCTAGAAAGAGAGAGAGGGGATGCACTGGCATTGGGTGGTGGCTAAGCCATGAGTCCAGATGAGGCCCATGGGAGAGATGAAGATGGAACCCAGAATCTAACTAGTCTAATCTATGAGTCTAGTTGCCCAGTTCTGAATCTCACCTACCCTTCTGCTGGTGCCTGTGCCTCAATGATGAGGTCTATGGAGGGGGAGTAGGGGATTAGGAAGAAGTGAGTGGACTGTGAACTCTGAGAGGTTGGACTCTGTCTTGTTCACTGTTGTGAATTCAGCGCCTACCAGGCACAAGGTGGGTGCTCAACAAATATTTGCCGAGTTAGTAAAATATGTGAATCTTATCCCACAGCAGAGACTCTAGAGAAAATGATCAAGGAGCCAACTTTGGGCAGGAAAGGTGAAAAGCTCCCTTTGTGTGGCGGAGTTCCCCTGGCCAATTCCTTCTTTCTACTTCTTTGTGAAGAGGCTGGAGAACATGGGACTGTAGAGATGGCTGGATGGACATTGATGGACATGTCTGAAGGCTAGGCTCCCATAAGTAGGCAATGGCCATAGAGATGTGCCAAGCCCTAGGAAATAGAAACTGCTGGAGAGTGCCACTAGAGGGCAGCCTGGGCACACGACGGGCTAGAGACTACAGCCCAGGCAGCCTGCACACATTGGCCTTTTCCACTTCTGAGGGTCAAGGTCCTGTGGAATGGGAGGAGTGGAGAGCTGGGTGTACTAGCTGAGGGGATCAGAGAGGTTAAGTCAACAAGATTGACTAAATGACACCTCCAACCCTGGAACCTGACCTATCACAGAGGGAGTTCTGATCCCAAACTGACTTAGCCTTTGTCAAGGTCACAGATAAGTCCTGAGTGGAGTCATAGACTGAACCCTCACCCAAGTCCATAGTGAGTCCTGGCCTGAGCTTGATCCTGGTTACACTTTGAACCCTGATCCTTCCATGTCCATACACTGAACCTTGATCCTGATCTTAGACTGAATTTTGACTCAGCTCACAGACTGAACCCTGACCTTTATCCAAGATTGAGTCCTGACCTGGATACCAACTGAGCCTTTATCCTGGACACATATTGAGCCCTTATTCTGGTCACAAACTGAACTCTGACCCTGAGCCATACACTGAACCCTGATTCTGAGAGCAGACTGAGCCTGACCTTGGTCGAAGAGCCCCGAATCTGGTCCTACCTGAACTTTAACCCTGATCCATACATTGGCCCCTGAGCCTGGATAAGGACTGAGCTTTCTTCAAGGTCACAGACTGAGCCTTGATACCTAAGATGTGCTCCCCCAACACCCCATTGAATTAAGGATCTTTCAGATGAGTCTCCCATAGGCCAGGCTTTAGCCCCAAAAGGAAGTAACTCCTGGAGCCACTTTTGAGGGGGAGAGAAGGATTCCTGGGTCTTTAATGGTCCAGAAACTCCTGGACGTTAACCAGGCAAGAAAGGCTGGTTGCAGGCTGTCCAGGATCTGAGGGAAGAGGACGGCTGGGTCTTCCAGGAGCCCCTGGGGCTCTGGCGTGGGGCCTTCCTGCTGCCAGCGTGTCTGGGGGCCTCCAGGCTGGGAGCCTCTTCCATCTGCACTTGTGACTCGTGCAGGACCTGGGCAAGTCCCTTCCCTCTGGGCTGTGCTACAGCCCTTGTTACCTTCTAGGGGAAATGTGAAGAGGAGGTGAACTTCTGTGAAGAGAGTGGGACCGAGCCATCACTGTGTCCATGTCCCCGCCCTGTGCCCTGGCAGGAGGGGACGTTCCCTTCCTCTGGGCAGCTATCTGGCTGGTCACTCAAACCAGGCAAGAAAAGATAAGTCACACACAAGGTGGCACCGGCAGGCTCCCGCCTCAGGTGGGCTGCGTCCCTTGAGACAGGAGCACGGAGGCCATGTGGGGAAGGAGGCAGAAGTTCTGGACGTGTGAGGAGGGAGGTCTACACGGGACCCTGCAGCCCCTCCCCGGACTCACCGACCAGTTCAGTTTCTGTCCCCAGGGTGCCGCCTGGGTGCTCGGGCCTGCAGGATCAAGCTGGCCTCTGCCAAGCCCACCAGCCTCGAGCTCACCTTGGGAGGTACCCAGGGTGGCGGTGAGGACTGAGCCAGGCAGGAGCCAGGCGGGGGAGGGGGCAGCTCGAGTCAAAAAACGCTGACGCCAGAGACAATGAGCTCTCCGAGGCTGAGGCAACTCATTTGGTCCCGGCCACGCTTTATTAAATTCTCATAAACCTGTCAGGGGGGACAGGGCTCGCTTCAGTTTACCTCATTAGCCCGACACAATGACGGGGGTTGGGAGGCAGAGGGAGGGGGCGACAAGGGGAGGCCGGGCTCAGAGCTGAGAACCGAGCCAGCCGGGAAGATAATTGAATTAAGTGGCTTTTGTTAATGGTTTTTAAGACTCCGAAGTGTAAATAACATTTAGGGGATTTCGTTTAATGGGGCTGGGGTTTTAGGGACCCAGGGAGCTTAGAGAAGGTCCAGCCCAGGCCCTGCCCCTCTCTCTCCCCCATCCCAGGGCAGCTTGGGAGGAAAGAGGCAGTGAGCACCAACACTAGGTGTAATGAAGTTAGTCTGGGAGGAGTGAGGGCAGGGCCGGGGTGGGGGGTGGGAGGAAGACAACTTCCTGGGGTGTCTTTGAACAGATACAGAGAGGACGTGAAGGAGAGGACACGGAGGCAGGGCTGA